CTCCTCGGCCGGGCTGTGCTGTCTGTGCCGCTGAGGGACGGCAGCACCGTGCGGGGATGGATCCCGGGCCGTGGGTGTCCGCTGCTTGGGTTCCACTTGTTCATCAAACAGCAACAGGCTTTCTTTTTTTTTTCTAACCATTTTTTTTCCCCTTCACTAAATCACTTTGCAAGGACGGAATCTGCCCCGGGCCCTGTGCGCTCCCCACCGGGACACCGACCGCTCGGCAGGCCAGGACCGAGCCTGCAGCCACCTGTGCATGCAGATGCTGTGCAGTGCCTGAGCAGGGCTGGCAGAGCGCTGTGTAGGTGGGGAGCTGTGGTGCAACCTCAACCTGTTCGCGAGAACAAAAAGATTTTGCAAGGTCTTCCACTGCAGGGAGGGGAAAATTCCCCAGGGGGTGACAGAGTCCATTGCCAAACTAATTGGAAAAGGCATCGTCTGAGCAGAGCAAGGTTGAAGTGAAAAGGAATCAATTAAATGTGAATTCTCCATTTAATGTACCAGTGCAACAGCTCCAGCATCTGCACGGCCTCCCTGTGCCTCCTCCCAGCCAAGAGTGCAGCTTTCCTGCTGGGACACTTCAGAATGACATTACATTTGGCCTCTCTCCTCCTCATGTCCCACTGGACAATGTTTTAGCTGATCTTCTGCCAAGATGCCAGTCAGATTTACAATAAGCAAATCTTATAATTAAAGGCATTATCAGATCCCCCAAACCTACCATGTACTATCTTTGTGATCTGGTGCAGGAATACAGACACCCAAAGCTCAGTCTTTCCTCCACACAACAGTGAGTCATTTCTGAAAGGCCATAATTATATAAAATTTCCATTCTCCTCTGCATCTCCCCATTGCACAGGAAAAAAAGGACAAGCAAAAACAACTTTTGGTGACTTGTACATTGCTCAGACCTGAAATGATCAAGTTTTGTCTTGTCTTTTCCCCTTTTTCTTCTTGTTTTAGGTTATTCCAAAGCATAAGTTTGTCCTTGTGAAGTTTGACACACAATATCCTTATGGTGAGAAACAAGATGAGTTTAAAAAGCTGGCGGAGAGCTCAGGCTCCAGTGAGGACCTGCTGGTGGCTGAAGTGGGAATATCAGGTGAGGAACTCTGAGTACGTGCAAACAGTGTGGGCTGGTGAGGAGGGGATACATTTCAGAGGGATTTCTGCAGGTTCTGAGCAATTCTGGGCGAGGGATGGATGTGAGAGTGGAGCTCCTGCCCCGGCTGAGCCTGGCTGTGCGTGGGAGAGCTGCTTCTCCATCTGGGCTGGGTAATGAGGAGTCAGCCCACGCTGCTGAACTGCTGCCACCTCCTCATCCCCAGCAATTCTTGCCTTTTTTTTTTTTCCCCCCCCTTCTTTCCTGAGAGAAACCTTTTTGTCCCACATGCAGGGAAGCTCACAAGAATCGTGCTTTAGCCACAATCCTGCTCAGACAAAGAATATTTGGTGTGGTTCATTCCATGCAGCAAACCCTGGGGCAGCACAGCAAGGGGTTCTTGCACTGGGGCTGCTCTAACTCGATCTGATTGTGACTGGGTTTAAGAGAAAAGGAGTGAAGAACAGATCACTGTCACCTGATGTGCTCTGTGGGCTTTGTGGGTTGAATTAAGAATTTAGGCTTAATTATCAAACTGTGAAGTTTTACCCATTCTGTTATTTCTGAGCATATGTGGAATTCTCTAAGTAGCATATTTCAAATGGCTTTGTTTTCTGTCCTCAAGAATAAATATAATTTCTGTAAGATGAGTAAATGTCTTGTAGCTTGGCATGCTGTCAGAGCCAAATCATTCTCTGCACACAGACAGGAAAAGCTCCTATTTCACTGTAAAATCAGATAAAATCAATGGATGGAGGAAAATAAGAGGAAAAAGGGTATTGATTTCCCATAAGGAGGACAGGGTTTATACAAAAGGTCCTGCCAATGTCTTACACTCTCACAGTCACAGCAAAACACCATTAAAGTCCTTTTCTTTGGAAAAGCCACTGAATGTTTGCCTTGCACAAATGATTTTATGAGGTGTTTTTTATTTCAGTGTGCGGCCTTTCCTTGGAACAGGCTCTCCAGAGAATGGTCAGGGCCCCAAGGCTGCCAGAGCTCAGGAAATATTTGGGATTTTGGGGTGTCCTGAGCTGGGCTGGAAGCTGGACTTGGTGATCCTTGTGGGTCCCTTCCAGCTCAGGATATTTCCATGACTCTGATTTCCTGGCAGACAGGTTATGAGGACATGTTGAAGCTCTGCCTGCAAATATTTGTGTGGGAGGGAATCCTAATTTAATTTTTGATTAACTGTGCTTTTCTGTTTCATCGTCCCTTGACAGATTACGGTGATAAACTGAACACCGAGCTGGGAGAGAAGTACAAGCTGGACAAGGAAAAATTCCCCGTTTTTTACTTGTTCCAGGATGGTGACTTTAAAAATCCTTTACTTTATGGTGGTGAGATCAAGGCTGGGGCTATTCAGCGCTGGCTGAAGAGTAATGGCATCTACCTGGGGATGCCAGGCTGCCTGAAGGAGTATGATGTGCTGGCCAGCAAATTTATGAGCACCACAGAGAAATCTGATCGCCAGGCCCTCCTGAAAAAGGGCCAGGAGAATTTAGGGAAAGCAAAAGAAACCGAGAAGAAGTCAGCAGAGCAATACTTGAAAATTATGAGCAAGATCTTGGAGCAGGGAGAGGAGTTTGCTGCTAACGAGGTCGTCCGAATCACAAAGCTGATCGAGAAGAACAAGATGAGTGATGGAAAGAAGGAGGAGCTCCAGAAAAGCCTCAACATCCTCGCTTCTTTCCGGAAGAAGAATAGTGAAAAAGATGAGCTCTGATGTGTTGGAGAACTCTTCTACAAGCTGTGAAACATTGTCAAGAGTCCTAAGCAGTTCTCCTTAATGCAAGCAAACTTCCCGCTGACTTCAAGAGGGCAGCAGATCTCCTTCTGGGATTCTCCGTTTGGAAGAGGAAGAGGAAGACATTCCTTAAAAACACAGTATTGTAAATGTTGGGAAAAATCACCTAAGAGCAAGACACAGCAAGTATTGTGTAATGCTATCCAATAACGGTGTTAAAGCAGACAACAACAAAAAAAAAACTCTAGATTGGCGCCAGAAGCTTATTCCTGGTGGTTTTTACAGCTGTTCCCTGGCTAACAAATAACAAAATTCAGTCTCTCATTCCATCTTACATGCTGGAAAAGGTACAGATTGGGTGCCCTCTACATCCCCACCTTTCCCTGTCTGTAATATCCTTGGGTTTTATGCTTGTTAATCTACCCCTCACACTCCTTGTGTTGTCCCACTTTGGTTCTAAGTCTTGTTCTTACCTGTTGTTGACTAAGAGACTCAGAGCTTCCTTTTTCTGCCTTTCATGGCTTCTGTCCCTGTTTGTTTTGGGTATCAGCCAAATGCTGGCAGTGAAGACAGTTCACGGCTTGCCCCTCGTTTTCTGTCCAGAGGAGCCATTTCATCAAATGTTCTCCCGAAATCCTTTGTGGTACCTTGACACAGTGAAGTGAGTTCTGAGCAAGGGCAGAGTCTCCTTGAGGTGCTATTACACTCAGTCTCACCAGTTTGTGCAAAAAAAAATCGGGTTTTCAGAGGTAAATTTGGATGAGGTTTTTTACACCTGAAGGTGTTTTACCTGTCCAAGCTTCATGAACAAAATGTTTTTCTAGCCTCCAGAAACAATTGACACTCTCAAACTAAAGCCTCATCAGTGTTCGGTAGCTCTGAATATTTGAAAATTAGGTCTTGTAAGAGGAAGCAGAAGTATTTGTGTCCTTAGAAGCCACATCTGTGTTATTTAAAAAGAGCTGCCTGGCCCAAGGATCAGGTCAGTCCTCAGAACTGTGCAGTTCACACTCTGTGGAATTCGGATGCCTCTGGAAGATGCTGAAGCCCTGGTCAGGGTGACAGAGTTGAAAAGAGAAACACCAGTGAGTTTTACCTTAAAAGTATGCTTTAAACAAAACTGATTCCTGTGGGAGCTTTGCTGCCTTTTGAATCTTGGGGTGGGTACAAGGAGCAGATGTTGCTGCGAGATAAAATGTATTAATAATGCTATAATAAAAAAAAAAATCCTCTTCAGAGCTGCTTCTTAAACCACTATAGAGAAACTGTAGTGATCAGAGGGGAGGCTTTGACGGCTGAAGCGAGGTGAGGGGAGCCGAGGGCGGCCCAGCGCTGTCTCTCCCCCCTCAGGAGCGGCAGAGGAGGGACCCCGGCAGGGCGGGCAGTCCTTGGGAGCGCTGGGTGATGTGTCCCGCCTGGCTCAGCCCCGGAGACCCTGAGGGAGTCGTCTCCTGAGGGGAGCCGTTCTCGAAGCACTGAGGGAACGAACTATTCCCCGGGACTCTGAAGGGAGCAGCCCCTGATAGGATCAGCACTTGAGGGGACCGTGCCCTGGATCTGTGAAGGGAGCAGTCCCCGGGATCTCTGAGGGGAGCAGCCCGCAGGATTCTGAGGGAGCTGTGCCCGGGTTCTTCGAGGGGAGCAGCCCCCGGGACTCTGAAGGAACGGTACCCGGTCTCTCGGAGGAGCAGCCCCCGGGACTCTGAAGGAGCGGTACCCGGTGTCTCAGAGGAGCAGCCCCCGGGACTCTGAAGGAGCCGTGCTCGGGCTCCCTGAGGGGAGCTGCCCCCTCAGAGGCGCCGCTCGCTCCCCGAGGCGCCTTCCCGCCCCCGGGCGCTGGTGACGTCATGGAGGGGCGGGGCCGAGGCTCCGCAGGGTCGCCCCAGGGCGGCTCCGTGAGGGGAGCCCGGGGCGGCGGTGACCGGAGCGAGCCCGCCCACCGGGGCTCGGCCGGTTCTGCCCCCGGAGGGATGCGCGGGACGCCGGTGCCCGGGACGCCAATCCCGCTGTTTGCCCAGGGCTTCTGTCCCCTCAGCCCCTCTCTGCCACCGGGCGCTCCCCGCAGCCGGCCCCGCCGGCTGGGGCCGGGCGCGGCGCGGCCCCGGGGCGGAGCGCGGGCGGTGCCCGCAGCCCCGGAGCGGTGCGGCGGCGGCGGCGGTACCCATGGCCCTGCCGGCGGAGGCGGACCGGCTGGATGGGGGCTGGCAGGAGGTGAGCGAGCCCCGCCGGCACCGGGACCCTTAAGGACAGCGGCTGTCCCCTCCCCGGGACCTCGCTGTGCGCGTCTCTTCTGTTCCATCCCCTCACGGTCCTGCCCCAGCCCTGCGCCCCGCTCCGTGCTCGGCGGCACCGGCAGCGTTGCACGATCCTCCCCCGCTCCGTGCTGCTTATTCCTTTTCGGGACCCCGCTGTCCCCAGTCCCCGGTCCGTGCTGCCCGTTCTTCTCCGGGACCCGCCACTCCACCTTGCCAGGTCCGCGCTGCCCGCTCCTATCCCGATCCCGGTCCTTGTCCTTCCTCCCCGCGCTCCCGGTCCCCGGTCCGAGCTGCCCGCTCCTCCTGGGACCCCGTGTCACCTGAGCTCCCTCCCGTCCTTCTCCCCAGGTCTACTCTGCGCTCCAGTGGATCCAGTTCACCATGGCCATGCTCAGGTACGACACGCTGCCCAGAGAGTTACTGTGGCGAAGATTATTTTACCCAGAAAAGCAAAAAAAGAGAACTCGCGTCTCCCAGCGAGGCAGACGCGCTCCTGTTCTAACCTGTGCTTTGTTTTCTCAGCGTTGTAGGTTCCAGCTCAATTATTGCCTACGCCGTCTTCCAAAACGCAGTGCGGTCCCCCGAGGTAAGGTCTGAGCTTTCTTCTCCCTCCCTAAGCTGTGGTGTCAGTCCCTGCAGGTGGGTCACACCTTTAGCACAGACCCTCCCCTAGGAGCAGCTGCAGGTCTCAGGGTTATGTGGTTAAACCTTGTTTAATAGCTGGAGGCAAAAGGCTTGCTAAGAATTGGGCTCTTTGTCTTGGTAGGAGGTGAAAGGACTGACCTTGAACCTGTGCTTCTGCAGGGAGAAGCAGGTTCCTGCAGCTTTCTGCTGCTCCAGGAAAGTCCTCCAGTTGTTCCTGGGAGCGGGGATTTCTTGGTGTGCCTTCCTCAATGGGGCCAAACTCCTGGGGGGCTGAGGAGTTGTGCACAAAGGTGCTGGAGTGCAAACTGGAGCTGCCTCTGCAGAAATGCTTTTATAAGTGCTGTTTTTTTGGCTGTCTCTGAGGAGTTTCTCTGGGCAGGTGTGCTACTAAAACTGACCCCACAGCCTCCATCCCATCCTGCTAGGCTTGGGTGTCCACACGCAGTCCCTCTGTCTGTCCAGGACTTCCTGGGGGCAGTGAGCCAAGCTGATCCCTGTGAAGCTGGGATTTGCTGTCCAGGGTTTGCAGGCTCAGCCTGACCTGTGGACCATGCAGAAAGTCAGAGGAGCTGGCAGCAGCTGTGTTTGTCCTTCCTTCATCTTCATATTCTTTGTACATTGTGGATTCGATCTGCAGCCCAGAGAATGGGACTTTCAGGGAATTCCTGGAGCTATCCCTGGAGAAGCAAGGAATGCAGGAAACCGACACATTGCTGGATGACACGGTGGGAAGGAGAACAGGATTCCATGTTTGCAGGGCAAAGCTGTCCTGCTTACAACAGCCAGGACCTTGCTCCCAGCCAACCTCCTGGAAATGCTGTGAATAAACTGTGGAGCTCTCCATGCATCCCCAGGGAAGAATGGGAATTCGCCTTAGAGCTGGGATAGAAAACCTGCTTGAGCTTGTGCTGCTCAAGGTATCAAAGCCTCCTTCGACCACATCTGCACCTGGAAAGCTCCAGATGTGATTCCTGCTGGGGTCCTCTCCCTGGAATGGTGTGGAGCAGGGGTTGGCAGCGTCCTGCTGTGACTCAGCAGCCTCATCCTGCTGGCTCCCATGGCCTGGCTGCTCAGGAGCCCTTCTGCTCTCAGTCATGTGATGGGGCTGTGGCTTGGGAGCTGCTCATGAGCCACTCATGGCTCCAGGTCAACAATGGGCCCTTCCTGCTCCAGAGGGTCCAGATGTTTCTGCTCAGATTATTTCTGCAAATCCGGATAGGAGGGCTGGATGCCAGCTGGAGGGACTGGTTTGCATCAGCCTTCCAGGCTCCTCTGCTGCCAGGGGAGATCTGGGTTTCAAAAGTGACAAAATCTCCATTAACTTCCCCATAGTCTTGTCCTCATGTCTCGGGTCTGAAGTGGAAGTTTGTAAACAAAAGGGTTGGAAGTGATCCATATCAAGGCTAGCCACAAACAGATTATTCCCTGAGTCATGAGGACCCACAGCAAAACATTTAAAAATAAAACAGCTCTGGAGGCTGGGAGGAGAAGGATCTTAGAAACACTTCCCTTCCTGCCCCCAACCTCAGAAATCCAATATTGCATTCTTGAAGCTCGCTTTCTGTCTCTATGGGGCCAATAAAACCCTTCAGCCTGAGGTAAATCATTCAGAAGAGGTGGTGGCAAGCACGGAAGAACCCTCAGCTCAACACATATGAGGAAGAACTCTCAGCTCCACAGGTTTGAGGAAGAAACCTCAGCTCAGCAGGTTTGAGGAAGAGCCTTCAGCTCAGCATGTGCCTGGGCCATGGCCACAGAGCCCAATCCCCGTGTGTGCTGCAGCTGGAGCTGCCAGGATGTAAATCATTACATCTTTGCAGTCCCTTCCTCTATTTTATAAATACCAGTGGTTATTTTTTTCCCCTTTTTCAAGCCAGAGCGACACGTGCCCCTGTGTCACCTACTTCTTTATCCAAAACAGCTCCTGGACCCACCAGCAGTGCCTTGCTCCAAGGGCTCTTGTGCTGGAGAGAGGTCACCTGTTTGATTGCAAAAGTGCCTTCTTTGCTTATTTTAGATCTGTTTGGTTTAACCTGCCTTGATCACAAACTGGACAGTGCCCCCAGCCTGTCGTGCCAAGGCTTCATTTCTGCACCAGTGAGGAAAAGCCTGGTTAAAAAAAGGCATTTATAGATGAAATCAAATTAAAATTAACTCCAGGTCTTTGTGCCTTGTGCTCCTTCACGCCCTAAGGACAAATCTGGCTCAATCAGATCTGCCTTAACTCTTATCACATTTCCTAAGCTCTCTCTCACTGCACGTGGGAACAAGGATAACACAACGTGAAGGGTGCCATACATTTACTTCCAGGACAATATTGAGGCAAATCTCACCAAAAACTCGGCTCCATGAAAAGAAATACCAAATCAAAGCCTGCTCAAGCATTTCCATGCTGTGTTTGGCATTATAATTTTCTGTAGGGAAAGAAAAACACCACAATTTTCTCTCCTGGATGCTGAAAATGAGATACCAAAGGATTTAATTAAGGATGTAGGTAATTAGGCTGCTTTTCCAGAGTCTCTGCTCTCCCACTAACAAAGAAAATGTTGGCCAGAATTTTTGCACAAATGTTTTCCTGCAGTGTTTACAGTCCTGGCCAGTGTGTGCAAACTGGAAATGGGCTGGAAACTGTTGTTAAAGGAGACATGACTGCTTTCCAGCAAGATGCAGCAAAAGTGGAAATTAATACAGCTTGTAAAATAAACCCAACCTTAGTCACCAGCTGAAATGACATGGAACACTTGGAAAAATGCTTGTTTCAAGTCATTCCAGAGCTGAGGAAGGGTTTGTGTTTACTGGAAGTTTGATTTCTATGTGAGTTTATTTAAAACACGATGTCTCTTCTCCCTGCCTACCTGTCCTGTTCTGCAAAACTGTAAAATAGTGGACATTTGGGATATTTTCTGTAAGTTTGGATGCTGCTCTTGTGGCAGAAGTGGTGGCTGGAGTAGGGAATGTGCATTGGAACAGCTCCTGAGAGCACAGTGTGGAATTTCCCTGTCTCACCAGAAGAGCTGGGAGGTGACAGTGTTCAGATAACACCAGATAACCTGGCACTGATGTCTGAGCACAATTAATCTTTCTGCTGTAATTGGTGTAGGAGTTTTAAAGGACTGAAAACAAGGATGATATTCAGGAGTACAGCCTGAAAAGTTTTCATCTGGTAACTTTTCTTTGAACTTGCTTGGCTTTTAAAGTAAAGGAGACTTTTTTTATTGGAGCTCTCAAGGTTTGCTGCAGATGAATTGACTGGTCTCAGAAATGCTGTCACAGTGCTTCCCTGAGGGTAGAACCATCCCTCCACCAAGTGCCACTTATGCCCCACTTCCCCTCAATTAAAGTTTTCAAAATAACTTTTTTGTGGGGTTTTTCTACTGAAAAACTTTCCTCACCTGCAGAAAAACCTTTGGAAGGCTGTATTAAATATCTTTATGTCTGATAAGGAGGTAAAACTGCAGCTGGGGGGTGGGAGGGCTGTGACTCCACTCACACCTGCTGAGATTTTCCCTTTTCCCTTTTCCAGGTGCGTCCACTTTTCTACCTGAGCCTCTCAGACCTGCTGCTGGGCCTGTGCTGGCTGGCTGGGGCCCTGCTTCACAGCTCACCCACCTCCCAGCAAGACCTCATCTGCTACAACCTGCAGGCCACGGGACAGGTGAGTGGCCTTGGCACCACATTCCATAATTAACATTGTAATTTGTCATAATTAACCTCGCTGGTGATCAGAGCGCGGCCGTGGGGGCTGCTTCTCGTGGCTTTATGTGGAAAAGGGAGCTCATGGCACTGGGGTTTGGGATCCTCTGGTGTGTGAGAGGAAGACAAGGTGGGATTTTGGGGTTGCTTGTGTGAAATGAGCAGATGGGACTTGACCTCTCTCCTGTTGGATCCGTGCCCATGGATCTCTGCTCTCACATTGCAGCTTTTCTACTTCTCTTTGTGCTTCCTCCAGCCTGGGCAGGAATAGACACATTCTGTGACACAGACACGTTCTGTGGCTTGCTTGAGCTCAGACTTAAATTACTCACATGAACATCCCAGTTCTTGCTCTTCCCAAGGATCAGCACAAGCTCAGCCTGTGTCCCATTGACTCAGCTGATTCCTGTGCTGGGGACCAGTTGCAGTAGGCTGGCTGTTCTCCTGGCAGTTTGCTGTTGCCTCACCCAGTTCCCATTTCAACACCAGCCCTTGGAAATCTCAGCTCTCAAAAATCTGAACATGGAGGTTCATAAATCATCTCTGGAATTAATTTTTTTTTTGCTTTTAAAGGATATGGCTGGGAAGAGCAAGGGGCTTTTGGAAGCTTTGATGTGTGGGCTCAGGCAGCTCCCTGGGAGCGTGGTGACACCCACAACTGGGAACTGAATGCCCTCATGGAACAGCAGCATCCAAAGCTGGAAAGGATCTCCATGTGCCTCAGAGAGGGCAGAGAAGCAGCTGCAGGTGCAGGATGGAATTGTTCCTGCTGCTGTGTGTCTGGGGATGGGCTCCTGCAGCCCAGGGTTGTTTCAGCAGCTGTTGTGGGGGTACAGATGTGTTGCTGAGGGTGGTGAGAGCAGCTGTTCTACTCCAGGCTCATCTCTGGTCCCTCCAGCCCTACTGGCTCCACAGTCTGTTCATGTGGAGAGAAACAGAGAGGTTTGGGCAACTTGGTCACTCGGGAATGATGCAGAATGACAGCAAAGATGGTGATGGTAAATGGGAAAATGAGGAGAGCTTGGGAGAGGCTTTCAGAGCTGGAAGGTGGAAGGAGCAAAGCAGGACTGAGGCTGTTCCTGAGCTGTTTCCCTTGCCTGGGGGACAGTTCTTTCAGCTGGTGTGATATTTTTATGATGGCCTGGAGGCAATTTGCCCTGCTAGAGGCAGGGTTTGGCTGTGGAAAATATGCCCATAATTTCTCAGCTCCCTTGCACTTCTGCCTCTTCTCTGCCCTCACTTTTCCAGCCTGTGGCTTCTCAGGGACACCAGCACAGGATGGGACAAGGTGGGGGCTTTGTGTTCATGCTGGGTGGGCAGAGCTGGCCTTGGGCCAGGACAGGGCTTGTGCTGGCTGTGCAGAGTCACACCCTGACCTCAGCCAGTGTCCCCTGGCTCCTCTCCTGTGTGCCACCACCAGTCCCCACAGCACAGGGACTGCCCAGGTGGCAGAGCCGGATTGTGCCTGGCAAGAGCTGTGGCTGCTGTTTGCTCTGGGAGAAATTAAAACAAACTGAGCCCTTGCCATAGCAACCTTTCCCCCAGGGCACCCCGTGACAGTGCAGGACCTCCTCAGCCAGCACCCTGCAGTGCCCTTGAGAGGTGGGAACACCTCCTGCGTAAGAAGGAGCCCGTAACAGGTTGGACCAGCAGATTCTGCAGAGCAGGAGGGATCTGGGAGCTGATGGAATGAGTAAATAAATGTCTCACTGTGCTGCTGGGTGTCTCACAAACACCTGGGGCCTCTCTGCACACCAGCACCCAGAAGGTGTCAGATGAGCCGAGGTGAGGACGGGCAGGGACAGCCCAGCAGTGGAATTTGCAGCCCTTGGAGAGGCTCACACTGGAGTCCTTGTGATGTCTCAAGGCACTGCCTTAGACAATGTTTTGCTTTATTCAGGCTGTTTGCCATTATTTGTCATCCCAGGCTGATGTTGTAGTGGATGGAGCTGCCCAGTGTCCAAACTGTATCATAAAGAAGGAGATTGTTTTGTTTCTTGGATTTTCCCTCTTGCAGCCCCAGAGCTGTGATTGATATGAATGTAAATACTGCTCCCTTTACTGTCCTGCACTGCAATAATGAAGTCCAGAATAGATATTGTGGTTTTAATTGCACAACTCCCCCACGTTCTTCCAGTTCAGTTCCAGTGGCCTAATAACGTCCTGGCAGGCTCTGCTCATGCTGGGCAGCACAATGGGAGCCACACAAGTGGGATAATGAGGGATTCTTGTGTCCCTGCTTTATCTGCTCATGGCCAGTGCTGCAGCACTGTCCCCAGCCCCAAAGCTGGGGCTCAGGAGAGCACAATTCCCTTCCCTTCCCTTCCCTTCCCTTCCCTTCCCTTCCCTTCCCTTCCCTTCCCTTCCCTTCCCTTCCCTTCCCTTCCCTTCCCTTCCCTTCCCTTCCCTTCCCTTCCCTTCCCTTCCCTTCCCTTCCCTTCCCTTCCCTTCCCTTCCCTTCCTGCTGGCACCTTCACAAGGGGCATTTGGGTCTCTGTCCCAGAAGGCAGCACTGACATTTCACAAGCCTCTCCCAAGCGTCCTGAAGTGCAAGAGAATGATCCTTGTGGGCTGTTTGGGCCTTCTCTGGAAGTAGTTGGCAAAGGGTAACAACCCCTCATTAAAACTCATTTAATGAGCTGGAAAGTCACTGCAGTGTTCCTGTGGCAGCCCTTGGACTCAGCCTCTTGAGCCAGCCAAGAGCATTCACAACCTCAGTGAAGGAGGCCAAGTTTGTTTAGTGACCACTTTCCCAGCCCTGGATGATACCAGGGTGGCAAACCTGTGCTCCTTATCTTTTTGGCAAAGGATAGCAAAGCCACAATTAAAAAAAAAATTTAAAAAAATTCCCTTGTCCAGCCCTTCCTCTTTGCCACTGTAGTTTGTGTTTCCTGTGACAAACACAGCACATGCATGTACATGGTCTGATTAGGCAACCTGGAGTAAGCATGAGTTTGGAAACAAATTTGATCAAGATTTGGGGAGGTTTCTAGGAAGTTTCAGATAATTAGACTCATGTCAAGCTGGAATCAAAGGCTATGAAACTCTCAGTGTGCTGCTCTATCTTTTCTCCTTTTTCCCATGGAGGAAGAAAAGGGGGTTTGGGATGTTAACTCAGGCTGAGGGCAGAGAATATCTGCCCTCACATTCCTCTTGAAATATCCAATTGTTTTCTGTTTCCGTGAATTCTCTGTGTAGTGAGCTTATTATGCAAGAAGGAAATCTAAATGTCACATCTGTGCTGTGTTTCCTAATGGACATGGAGTTGAGAAGGTCCAAGTGCCTCTGAAACCCTCATTGCCAGGCTCTGAGCCAAAAAAAAAAAGAGCCAGATCACAAAAATGTTTATTTCTAAGACAGTCCTGCTGTCATTAGTTCTCCTGTCTGAGGCCAAAGTGAAGCTGCTTTTGTGTGGTTTAAGGTGGGAATTTCCAACCTGGTTCAGACCCTCACCTTTGGCAGGTGTTCATCATCCTGCCTCTGTTCCATGGGATTTGGGAGGAGCTAAACATGCTCCAGGAGTTGTTATTGTTATGCTCCAGGAATTGTTATTCCAGGACTGAAATGCTGGTTTTATCTCTCAGATATTCTACGTGGCCTCTTTTCTCTACACTGTCAACTACACCTGGCACCTGTACATGGACCTCAAGGTGAAATACAACCAGAACCTCTGCAGGGTGCCCCCCCAGGTGAGTGGGACTGATATGGGACTGGTGTAAAGGCTGGGAACCCAGGGACAAGGACACAACACTCAGGAAAAACCTCCCTGCATTGCAGGCTGAGCAAATACTTCACACACCCCGTGACCAAAATCTCTCCTTGCAGTTCATTCCTCCCTCACACCCAAACAGGGAGGATGGGGAGGCACCACCACTGCCATGACCAGGCTGGGGAATACCCCAGGTACTCCTGCAAGATGGCACATTCCTTCTGCAGCTCTTCCCAACAAACCCATCAGCCCCACTGCCCTGCACAGCTTCCCCAGACATTTGCTGTGCACAGCAAATTGTGTATCCCAGATATTCCATCTGAAAGTTTAGGCTGGGCAACCCCTCCCTCAGCTGCTGAAATCCTCCGTGGAAGCTGATTCCTGTGAACCAGGGAGTGTGCAGAAATAATTTTAATGAAGATTTTTGGATTTTGCAGGTTGTAGATTATGCAAGTTGTGTTGGCCGAATAGCCACGATCTTGTCAAGGTAAGATTTCATTGTCCCTGGCACAGGGTGTGGGTTTGGTGAGGGTTAATTCTCCCTGGCACAGGGTGTGGATTTGGTGAGGGTTAATTCTCCCTGGCACAGGGTGTGGATTTGGTGAGGGTTAATTCTCCCTGGCACAGGGTGTGGGTTTGGTGAGGGTTAATTCTCCCTGGCACAAGGTGTGGGTTTGGTAAAAGTTAATTCTCCCTGGCACAGGGTGTGGGTTTGGTAAAAGTTAATTCTCCCTGGCACAGGGTGTGGGTTTGGTAAGAGTTAATTCTCCCTGGCACAGAGTGTGGGTTTGGTGAGGGTTAATTCTCCCTGGCACAGGGTGTGGATTTGGTGAGAGTTAATTCTCCCTGGCACAGGGTGTGGGTTTGGTAAAAGTTAATTCTCCCTGGCACAGGGTGTGGGTTTGGTGAGAGTTAATTCTCCCTGGCACAGAGTGTGGATTTGGTGAGAGTTAATTCTCCCTAGTGGGAGAGTGTGGATGTGGCAAACTGCAGTGTGCCTGTCCCTGCTTCCTACTTGTTTTGAAGCAAGTTTTACTAAAAAAGCTGTAAAGCTCATCATTAACAGCAGAGTGATCTCATGAATGCAGAGTAAGAGTTTTTTTTTCAGCCAAGTTAATGATAACTTTATTAACTGGATGTGGTTTTCCAGAAGGTTTCCCTTTACCAATGATTAGCCCTCACAAATGAAAGCCCCAACACTGGTGAAGCTGATAAAATACTTTTCCATAGCAGTGCCAATAAAAACAACTTTAAAGTGCTCTGTAGTGATGGGAGAAAAACCGAGCAGTGCAATAACCCATGGCTGTGCTGTCCTTTCTCCTCTCAGCCTGATCCCTTTCCTCCTCATGGTGCCGGTGTTCTGCCTGGGCAACAGCAGTAACTGCTACCAGAACTTCAGCCAGAAGCACGGGTGAGCTTCCTGCCTCGCTGTGGCACAGCCCCAGGGCTGCCCTGCCGGGGTGGGCAGGAGCTCAGGCTGTCCCCTGTGTCCCCAGGTGTCTCCTGATGCACACGGAGGTGGCCGAGCCGCCCGGCGAGCCGCAGGGCCTGAGCGGCTCCGTTTGCCGCGCGATGCATTTCTACGGCGTCGGCGTCTTCCTCGTCTCCTTCCTCGTCAGCTTCGTGGCCATCCTGGTAAGGCTGGTGCTTGTGGAGGGTTCCAGAGGCTGGGCAATTCTGGAATGGTTTGGGTGGGAAGGCATCTTTGAGCTCATCCAGTGTCGCTCTCTGCCATGGGCAGTGACACCTTCCACTGTCCCGGGTTGCTCCAGGACCTGTCCAGCCTGGCCTTGGACACTTCCAGGGATCCAGGGGCAGCCACAGCTTCTCTGGGAAGGATTTCCTCCCAATATCCCATCTAAACCTGCTCTCAGTTTTCAATCCTTTCCTCCCTGTCTGCTCACTCCGTGCTCTTGGTAAATAGGGCAGGGGAATAACTGTGTGGTGCTGCCTCCCTTTTAGAAGGGGTGGTAGGGGAGGGAAAATACCACTGTGCCTCCAGATAAATCCATCTAGAGTCCTGTGTTCTGTCAACCCATCCCAGAAATATTCAGCAGGAATTCAAAGGCTTGGAGCTTGGCAGAAGAGATCACCCCCTGCATGGGTCAGCAAGAGGTGATTTACAGTTGGACTCCATGATCTTAGAGATCTTTTCCATTCTAAGCAATTTACTGATTCTGAAATAAATTCAGATTCTTCAGTTTAGAAAAGGCCATGTCCAAAACAACACCTCCCACAGGATTTCAGTGCTGTGTGAAAAGGTTGGATAGACTGGGATCCATCCTAGATGAACCCAGCAGATCACAGCCTGTACAATAGCATCTGCCTGCTCTTTTCCAGGTTATCCTGAGTCAGGCCCGAGGGCTGTACAAGAGGTTTGTGAACTCCACAGGGTTCCTGGGGGATCAGCAGTGGGCCATGATTAAGATGGTGGAACAAAGGGTGGTTTTTTACCCCATTGCCTTCTTCTGCTGCTGGGCCCCAGGTGAGCAGAGAGTTCCTCCCACAGCATCCCCCTGTGGAACCCCAGGGAGGTGGGGTTAACTTCACCCTCTCATCCATCCCTTTCCACAGCTGTCCTCCTTGGAATGCTGAAATTGGCAGCTTCAACAACCAGCAAAATCTACATGGCTCTGCTGATCCTGCAGGTAAATGTCTGCCCCTGCAGCCTCCTGCCTCCTCAGCTTGAGTCTCCTGCCCTGCATCCCTGCTGGATGGGGCAAGGATCTCTGCTGTGTGAACCCAAGTCTGATTTGTGCTTTTGATTGGCAAACATCTTGGTTTGGTGGTTTATGTTTTTCACAGGCATGAGAAGGTGTCAGTACCCAAAATCCCAACAGTTTAGTAGTGAACAGGGTGCTGGGTGGATGTTTGGACTTGGTGACCTCAAAGGTCTTTTCCAACCTCAGTGATTCTGTGGTCATGGAAATTGCAGCAAATAGGACTAGAAAGGATCCTCAAAAATTTGTTTTGTTTTCCCTGTGTCCCTAAATCTCCAGATGTTATTCCTTAATAACACTTGTCCAGCTCCTTCTTGTGTCTGATGCAGAAGTTAGACATTTTATTAAATTATATCTATATAGTCATACATTTATACTATATATACTATAGTTATAATGATCTAGATATGTTATTATATTTATTTAATATATAAACATACATAAAATACATTCTCTATTTGTACAGCATTTCTATTTAATTAGATATTCATTAAATATCCAATTTCTATCTAAAATCACAGCACAATTTCTCCATCACAGGGAAGATATAATCCTGCTGGGAGGGGGAGGTTTTCCAGGGCTCCCAGAGCACGGGGCAGTGCTGGGATCCCTCATTCCCCTGTGCTCTCTCCCAGGCTCTCACCGCAGCTTCCCAGGGGCTCCTGAACTGCCTGGTGTACGGCTGGACCCAGCACGCGTTCCTGGCCCTGAAGCGCGGCTCCCGCCGGGACGTGGACACGCAGACCCCGCTCCTGCGCTCCCAGAAGAAATTCTACTCCAGCACAGCCCCGTCCGGCCCGCCCGAACCCGCGGGCTGCTCCTCCACCCTGCTCTGAGGCAGCTGCAGCCCTGCCTGCAAGGAGAGAGGCAGAGTCCTTGCAACTCCTCCTTCCAGCTCCTCGTTCCAGCTCCTCGTTCTCCAGAGCCGGAATGGAGCTGTCCCCGCGGGGCTGGCAGAGCCAGGCGCTCAGTGGACATAGTTATTTATTTAATGGATTCTTTCAGCGTGATAAATCTTTAGTCCAGACTTTCTCCTCCTGGAAATATCCCTAGAAATGTAGCAAACCCCATGTAAAGGCTCAGAGACCTGGTCCAGTGCCATGGAGGTTGAGCAGAGAATGTTTTACTTTGGTTTATTTCTCCAAGTCGTTGCCTTTACAAATTAACAGAAAGCAAAATGAGTATTTGTCAATCTCTGCCTTTTAATTCACTCTTAACCATGAGAATTTGCACCACCCTAAGAACCAAGTGCAGGGAGTGAAGAATTGCAAAGGACAAAAGCTGCCTGGAATTTCTGCACATTTCCCTTTCCTTCTTCCTGCCAACTCCTGCCCAGCCACCATACTCCCCAAAATCAGCTGCTTCGACCCTGTGGAGCATCTCTCATGAACCAGGTGAGCAGGACTTTGTCTGAATCTCTTTGCATTTCCAGACATTCACATGAATTATTTACTGAGGCCCCACCATTCTACAGGAAATAAACCAGGTCTTAAGCTGTGTTAAAAACAACTCTTTACCTTTACACTCTTTATTTTCCAACAGCTGTTTCAATTTTTTCTCCTAGAGTTTTTCCAAGTTCATTTGCCTGGATAATTCCCACTTGCTGTGGACTCCCAATTTTGTTACATCAATCATTTCAGGCTCTGTGGGCTTTTCTTTTCCTACGGCTTTGATAACTCTTTTACATCCTGAATTGGCATTATTTTCAATAATGTCCTGTATCATTATTGGGTGAGTTATATCATCCCCACATTGTCTTCCTGCTCCTTGCATTACCCAGTCCACAAATGTGGTAAATGCTTCAGACAAGTCTTGGCTAATCGGATTATAGGCTTTTTCAAAACTTCCTGCAGGCTGAATTTGAAAAACGCATGTATTTTAGGGTTTAGTGTCTCACTTTGGGTGGAGAAATCTGTGCCAAACACTGGGGGGGGGGGGGGGACTCTGGAGCTATTTGGGAACAGTTCTTTTTCAAAATTCTTTTGTATTGGGATCAAAGGGTCGGCATTTGCAGGGACGAAATAATTCTCTGTCTGTCCTGTATTTATTAAAGCAGCTGTCATATTCCAGCCTCGTTGCCCGGTTTGTGTGCATGGATGCAGCTGTGCGGGCGAATCGTGACACAAAGTAGTCCCACTCGGTGCTGGGAGCGCGGAAGGCGAAAACGCGGAGGGATACCAGGGATCGGTCGCGCTGCGCCCCGCGCTGCGCCCCGCGCCGCGGAGGGATCTCTCGGTGATGCGGCCGAGAGAGGTCCGGCAGAGCGAGAGGCGCGGAAGGATACACGCAAGGCGCTGCAGTTTTCGCCTGCTGGGGTGCCGTGTACAGCCCCGGTGGCGGCAGAAGCGGCGTGCCCGGGCACAGGGATGGTGGCTGTAGCCGGACAGCGGCACGCAGTGCTCGGAACCGGGACCGGGCTGCACCAAAGCTGCGGCGAAAGCAGTGGGGGGGGGGGGGGGGGGGGGGGGACGGGACGGGGATAGAACTGCGCATGTGTGCGGCTGATCCCGGGAGCAGCGCCGTGGTTGGATGAGGCAGCGCGGAGCTGCGGGAACGGGAGCCGGGGCTTCCGCCGCAGCCGTGGAAGGGAACGCCGGGATGGCCGTGCTGGCAGGAGGCGGCGGAGCTGCGCCATCCAGCAGCTCTGAAGCGGGAGGGTGCGGGGAGGAAGGGACGGCTCGGCCCGCCATGGAGCGGCGGCAGGAGCGGGAAAGCGACCGCGGGCGGTGGCGGGGGCGGCCCCGTCAGCGGGAGATGATCCCAGGCTCACGGGAGGGACGGCGTGGAAGCGGCGGGAGGGGCTGCGGGGAGGCCATGCACGGCTGGAGCGCGGCCTGCAGCCGCTGGGGGCTGGGGTGGCTGCTGGCCCGGCGGGCAGGGGCGGCGCAGGCGGGAGGCTGCGCTGGAGCCGCGGCAGGAACGGCAGATGCCACAGCCACCGGCGCGGACACCGCGGCACCGGCACGGGGTGGCTGGGCGGGCCGGGGCGCTCCGGTCCCAGCGCAAGCGGTGCCGTGCCGGGACTGGGGGATTGCGCCCAAACGCCGGCAGGAACGGGAGCAGCCGTGGGCGTTTACCCCGCGCGGCGCCTGTGGGCAGCTCGGGGTGTGCTGCGTGCGTTTGAACACCAGGGCGGGGGGGGGGGGGGGGGTCCCGAGCCTCCCGCGGCACCGCGCACAGGGGGCGCCGGGGGCGCTGCGCGGCCGCGCCAGGCGCGCTCGGCGCCGCAGAGCCGGGAGCCGCAGGGAACGGCAAAGACGCAGCAGCAGCGGCGGGTCCAGGGCCAGCACTGGCCCCGCTGGGTCGGCAGAGGGGGCGGGGGGGGGGGGGGCGGGAGCGGCTGCACTCGCAGGGAGAGGCGGGGGCAGGAGGGGGCGGAGTCGCAGTGATGTTGGTGGGCGGGATTGAGGGGCGGGGCCCGGGACAGCCGGGACCGACTGGATGGGGATGGCGGGAGCGGTGGGAGCAGCTGGGGGTTGGCCAGGGCCGGGGGGACGGGAGTCAGAACGGCGAGGGTGGGGGGGCGGGGCGGCAGGGGCAAGCAGGACTGTGGGGACCAGAGCCGTGCCGTCCCAAGGGGAGGTGGGGGGTGTGTCTGGCTGGAGACTCGCGGCAGAGGGGGGCAGAGCCGCAGGAGGAGCAGAGCTCGGCGGGGCGGCTGCTGAGGGCATCCCCCGTGCGGCAAAAAGAGCTCAAGCAGCGCCCGGCAAGCTGGGATCGGCTCCCTGGCAGCCATGGCCCAGGGGGAGATACTATTAAAGTGCTTTATAAAACCTGTGTTCAAAAGTCTCAGTTTTGCTTTACAGCACCTTTTACGACAGTTTTGCTTTACTGCACCTTTTACGACAGTCGCGCTTTACAGCAGTTTTGCGACAGTCGCGCTTTACGACACCTTTTACGACAGTCGCGCTTTACGGCACCTTTTACGACAGTCGCACTTTACGGCACCTTTTACGACAGTTCTGCTTTACGGCACCTTTTACGACAGTCGCACTTTACGGCACCTTTTACGACAGTTCTGCTTTACGGCACCTTTTACGACAGTTCTGCTTTACGGCACCTTTTACGACAGTCGCGCTTTACGGCACCTTTTACGACAGTTCTGCTTTACGGCACCTTTTACGACAGTTCTGCTTTACGGCACCTTTTACGACAGTTCTGCTTTACGGCAGTTTTGCGACAGTTCTGCTTTACGGCACCTTTTACGACAGTCGCGCTTTACGGCACCTTTTACGACAGTCGCACTTTACGGCACCTTTTACGACAGTTCTGCTTTACGGCACCTTTTACGACAGTCGCACTTTACGGCACCTTTTACGACAGTTCTGCTTTACGGCACCTTTTACGACAGTTCTGCTTTACGGCACCTTTTACGACAGTCGCACTTTACGGCACCTTTTACGACAGTCGCGCTTTACGGCACCTTTTACGACAGTCGCGCTTTACGGCACCTTTTACGACAGTTCTGCTTTACGGCACCTTTTACGACAGTCGCGCTTTACGGCACCTTTTACGACAGTTCTGCTTTACGGCACCTTTTACGACAGTTCTGCTTTACGGCACCTTTTACGACAGTCGCACTTTACGGCACCTTTTACGACAGTCGCACTTTACGGCACCTTTTACGACAGTTCTGCTTTACGGCACCTTTTACGACAGTTCTGCTTTACGGCACCTTTTACGACAGTCGCGCTTTACGGCACCTTTTACGACAGTCGCACTTTACGGCACCTTTTACGACAGTTCTGCTTTACGGCACCTTTTACGACAGTCGCGCTTTACGGCACCTTTTACGACAGTTCTGCTTTACGGCACCTTTTACGACAGTCGCGCTTTACGGCACCTTTTACGACAGCCGTGCTTTACGGCACTCGCGCTTTACGGCACCACCCTTTATAGAAACTTTATGGTACTTTACAGCACTTTACGGGTTTTATTTTGTTTTTTATTTATTTTTAATTAATTTTATTTTTTAATTTTATTTTTTATTTAATTTTTATTTCTAATTTTTCTAATTTTAAAGCTTTTAATTTAATTTTTCGAAGTTTTTTTTATTTAATTTTTATTTTTAATTTTTCTATTTTTAGCTTTTAATTTTTTTAATTTTAGTTTTTGTTTAATTTTTATTTTTTTTATTTTTAGCTTTTAATTTTATTTTTTTAATTTTATTTTTTTAATTTTATTTTTTTTAATTTTATTGTTTTAATTTTTCTTTCGTTTTTCTATTTTTAAAGTATTTATTTTCGTTTTCTAATTTTATTTTTTATTTAATTTTAAATTTTAATTTTTCTAATTTTAAAGCTTTTCATTTTATTTTTTAAATTTTATTTATTATTTTATTTTGATTTCTAATTTTTCTAATTTTAAAACTTTTCATTTTATTTTTTTAATTTTATTTTTTATTTAATTTTTATTTCTAATTTTTCTATTTTTAAAGCTTTTGACTTTATTTTTTTAATTTTATTTTTTATTAAATTTTTATTTCTAATTTTTCTAATTTTATTTTTTATTTAATTTTTATTTCGAATTTTTCTAATTTAAAGCTTTTTATTTTTTTAATTTTAGTTTTTGTTTAATTTTTATTTTTAATTTTTCTATTTTTAGCTTTTAATTTTATTTTTTTAATTTTATTTTTTAAATTTTATTTTTTAAATTTTTTTTTCGTTTTTCTCTTTTTAAAGTATTTTATTTTTCTAATTTTATTTTTTATTTAATTATTATTTTTAATTTTTTTTATTTTAAAGCTTTTCATTTTATTTTTTAATTTTACTTATTATTTAATTTTTATTTTTAATTTTTCTAATTTTAAAGCTTTTGATTTTATTTTTCTAATGTTTTTTTTATTTAATTTTTATTTTTAATTTTTCTATTTTTAAAGCATTTATTTTATTTTTCTAATTTTATTTTTTATTTCATTTTTATTTCGAATATTTCTAATTTAAAACTTTTAATTTTTTTAATTTTAGTTTTTGTTTAATTTTTATTTCTAATTTTTCTATTTTTAGCTTTTAATTTTTTTTAATTTTATTTTTTAATTTTTTTTCGTTTTTCTAATTTTAAAGCATTTATTTTATTTTTCTAATTTTATTTTTTATTTAATTTTTATTTCTAATTTTTCTAATTTTAAAGCTTTTTATTTTATTTTTCTAATGTTATTTTTTATTTAATTTTTATTTCTAATTTTTTATTTTTAAAGCACTTATTTTTCTAATTTTATTTTTTATTAAATTTTTATTTCGAATTTTTCTAATTTTAAAGCTTTTGATTTTATTTTTCTAATGTTATTTTTTATTTAATTTTTATTTTTAATTTTTCTATTTTTAAAGCTTTTCATTTTATTTTTCTAATTCTATTTTTATTTAATTTTTATTTTTAATTTTTTTATTTTTAAAGCACTTATTTTTCTAATTTTATTTTTTATTAACTTTTTATTTCTAATTTTTCTAATTTTAAAGCTTTTGATTTTATTTTTCTAATGTTTTTTTTTAATTTTTATTTTTAATTTTTTTATTTTTAAAGCATTTATTTTTCTATTTTTTATTAAATTTTTATTTCTAATTTTTCTGATTTTAAAGCTTTTGATTTTATTTTTCTAATGTTATTTATTTAATTTTTATTTTTAATTTTTTTATTTTTAAAGCACTTATTTTTCTAATTTTATTTTTTATTAAATTTTTATTTCGAATTTTTCTAATTTAAAGCTTTTTATTTTTTTAATTTTAGTTTTTGTTTAATTTTTATTTCGAATTTTTCTATTTTTAGCTTCTAATTTTTTAATTTTATTTTTTAATTTTTTTTCGTTTTTCTAATTTTAAAGCATTTATTTTATTTTTCTAATTTTATTTTTTATTAAATTTTTATTTCGAATTTTTCTAATTTTAAAGCTTTTGATTTTATTTTTCTAATGTTATTTTTTATTTAATTTTTTTTTTTTTTTTTTATTTTTTAAGCATTTATTTTTCTAATATTTTTTATTAAATTTTTATTTCTAATTTTTCTAATTTTAAAGCTTTTGATTTTTTTTCTAATGCTATTTTTAATTTAATTTTTATTTTTAATTTTTCTATTTTTAAAGCTTTTCATTTTATTTTTCTAATTTGATTTTCATTTCATTTTTATTTTTAATTTTTCTATTTTTAACGCTTTTCATTTTATTTTTTTAATTTTATTTTTTATTTAATGTTTATTTTAATTTTTTTTTATTTTTAAAGTATTTATTTTTCTAATTTTATTTTTATTTAATTTTTATTTTTAATTTTTTTTACGACAGTCGCGCTTTACAGCAGTTTTATGACAGCTGTGCAGAAATATTTCCCTGCTAACGTGTCTGGAAAACTTCTGCTGCAGATGAGGGTGGAGGGAGGGAGGGAGGGGACACCCGATCCTTGGGGGACAAAGGTGCCCTGGCCCCGTGCCTGGTCACGGGGACGGGGACAAGGACATGCTCATGGGTTTGGCTCCTTGGGGGAACAGGGACTCCCCATTCCAACCCCTCCCTGCCCGAGTTAAAATACCAATGCAAGGTCATGTAAACAAAGTCATTTTTATTTTAAAAAACACACTGGGGGAAAAAAAACCCAAGCAAACATATACAGCAAGGCCACAGCCAGTGGAAATTCACTGGTGATAGTGTCAGCTCAGAGAGAACACCAGAGGAAGGGTTACAAGGACATTCTATAAAAACTGGTGTCATTTCAAAAACAACAAAAGGGCTTTTCACTTCCATTAAAGTAATTACAAAGTCAAAGATGGGCTGGAAACCCAGGAGTAGGAAGTCAACACCTCTCCCTCCTGCAAATCCTAACAGTTCTTGCCAACACTAGGTGGAAACTTGAATTTGCTCCCAAGGTGGCAAAGCACAAAGTTCCCTCTTTGAAGATCTTAAAAAGATCTGAAGTAATTTGCAGCTCTCAGTCCCTGAATTGGGAGATGTCAATGAACAAACCTTTGCTGCTGCCATCAGCAAATACCCCCAGGTCCTTGCTCAGCACAGCTCACCTGTCATCCAGGTGATCCCACACCCGGGAAGAACCTAAAACCTTTTGATTTTCCTGTCTAAATGCCAACAAAACATTCAAAAGCATTACCAAGGGTCTTGGTCACAGCCTCCCTGTGGCTGAACAGAGGATTTATCCCAAATTCTGAGAACCTGGGGGGGCACCAGAGGGGCTCAGGGGGGGTCTGGGCTCTTCAGGAAGGGAGGGAGATGTGTGGGAAGAATTGCAAAGGACAAAAGCTGCCTGGAATTTCTGCACATTTCCCTTTCCCTCTTCCTGCCAACTCCTGCCCAGCCACAACACTCCCCAAAATCAGCTGCTTCGACCCTGTGGAGCATCGCTCATGAACCAGGTGAGCAGGACTTTGTCTGAATCTCTCTTTGCATTTCCAGACATTCACATGAATTATTTACTGAGGCCCCACCATTCTATAGGAAATAAACCAGGTCTTAAGCTGTGTTAAAAACAACTCTTTACCTTTACACTCTTTATTTTCCAACAGCTTCGCTTTTTGGGTCCAACCCAAATTTTTCTCATAGCAGGTTAGGCAAGAAGAGGAAATACTCCAGCTTTGTGTAATTAACTTACACAACTGTGTAAACTCTGGGTAAGTCACACAAGGGCCCTGGAGGTTTGGTCAATGACTTATTTTCTCCTACAGAGTCAGACTGAGTGAAACAATTCAATTTTGCTGTTTTACAGGATAAAAACAAAGTTTTCATCCATCTTCTTCCACTTGGTCCTTCAAATCCTCCTCTAGTCCCAACGTTTGGACATGGATGGCTCAGTGTTTCTCCAGCCCCACTTCCAAGGCAAATAGTCCACAGGGAGGGTGGGATTCGTGCCCTGGCACTGGCAGGGCATGAAACACACCCAGCCTCATCCCTGAGAGCCTCCTGCACCCTCCTGCGACTGACCCCGTTTGTGGAGCCAGTGCAATTTGTTTAAAAGGGGATTAAGGCTTCCTAAGTGATGGAAGATTAGCCAGGGAACAATGATTGGATTGCTAATGGAGCAGCAGGGCTGGCAGTGGGTGCTGACACAGCCCCGGCGCTCCTCAGAATGCAGGAGTCACTCAGTGTTTGTTTGAGGGGAGTTTTCTTGCTGGGTTGGCTGCTCTAAGTGCTCCCAGAAATTGTCCCCTCAGTCTCTGAGGGTCACTCACCACCCAGCCTGCTCTGAACTCCCCCAAGGCACCAAGCAGAGGGAAATTCTCTGGCAAGGGAGGAGCCTGAGCCCTCACACCTGCCCCCTCTTGTGTCCTGAGATGCTCCTGGACCAAGGGTGGGTCTGGTTGCTGTCACCTCGAGGACAACAAAACCATTTCCAGAGGCAGGGAGGGCCCAGGTGAGGCTCTGTGGGCAGAGAGGGGAGGGAAGCACTGCCTGTCCCTGGACCAGCACAGGGCCAGCAGCAACAAAGCTTTGCTCCATTTTTTGGGACCAGCCAGTGTCCCCCAGTCCCACTGCAAGGAGCACCAGCCATGGGGATCTGGGTCCTATTCCAGTGTCCCTGAGGACAGAGGGACTCATCCCTCCCTTCCCTGAGTGCCCAGTCCAACCCCACAGCCCTCAGGGGTTAACTGGGAGCACTGGGCAGGTGCTGCTGCCATCTGATGGAAAGCTGGGCTTAAAAAAGGCAATTTTGGGTTATGTTGCCAAGCAGAGCCCAGGATTCCCTAAGGGTTTATCCAGCCTCAAACCCTCATTCAAGTGTTTGTTCCCATGGATCAGGGAGGTGGGATGGGGGGCTGAGCGTGGCAGAATAATGGAATCATGGAATCTCTAAGGCTGGAAAAGCCCTCTAAGATCACCAAATGCAGAAATGAACCCAGCACCACTGTGCTCACCACTTACCACAGCCCCAGGTGCTGCACCCACACCTTCTGGGCACTTGCAGGGAAAAGCAGAATCCTGCTGCTCCTCCTTCCTTCTCTCCTGCAGGGATTTGGGAACCAAACAAAACCAGCCAGGAACTTTTGAGTTTAGTAAAATCATTTATATACAGGATGGGTAATATTTACAATGTAATACTGATCCAAAAGGAACTAACAGGGAACACTGAGAGGAGAAATGAGAACATTTTAACACACAGGAGTTAAACATGGGGACAGACTCGAGTTTCCAAAAGAAAATCCAGGAGTAATGACAGCAAGTTTGACATGTTGCTATTTCCAATCAAAATCTCTCTCACTAATCAGGTTCTCCTAATTTTAATATATATAGAAAAGCTTCAAATAATCAAATCACAGGAGAAGCCAGTTATACAGAAAATTTTGAAAAGGTCAAATGATTTCAGACATTTTTCTTCACTTAAATAAAATTCTAAAAAAAACCAAAACCCAACAACCTCCAGAGCTTTCCCACATATTTTAGTGTTTGTACAAAGAAATTCTTCTTTGATCCCACACTTCCAGCTCGAGATATTTACATTATTCACAGTCTGCTATAAAGGATCAGTAGATTTATTACCAAGTCAAGCCTCAGAGAATCAAGACAAGGTGTTTTGCACTTGCTTCAACTGAAAAATAAACTAAACACAGGAAGGAGAAAGTCAAATGCTACTTTCAAACACATAAATGAATCCATTAAAGTTATTGAACTTTGAAATGTAAAACAGAACTTTTCCAAGAGTAAAAAAATCAACTTTCTCATAGAAACAAAACCATTTGACCTTGAGTCTTCAAATTGTGTTTTCTTAATCTGTCCCTCCTCCCTCTGCTTCAAATCAGGCCCTTCTTATTTATCACAGACAAGAAAAAGTAGATTAAATCCATCAAAAGCAGCTCCTTGTGGCAAAAGCCCTTGGAAATTTGTACAAATGTTCCCACCTCAGGATCAGCAGCACTTAAGGGATGAAGAAAAGGAGGAATCCCCTAACACACATCAGATCCCACCTTCCCCCCTGACTGCACTTCCAACAAATTCTGACTCCCAAAAAACGGCCTGAGGATTTTCCTGCTGGGAGGGCAGAGTCACAAAGTGCTTTTGGAGGGGATTTTCTGCTCTGCCATTCAAACAAAGGTGATTTCTTTGTTTCCATCTCTATCTGCCACACTTGAAAGTTTCAATTCCCCAGAAAAACATGGATTTCAAGTTCAAAATGAAACCATTTCAAGACATGACCTAGAATTACAGCAAGGACAGAAATGCACATAACAGGGCTTGATGGTAAAGCCAAAAAAGTGACAAAACATCTCAATTTTTGCCAATTCTCTTCAGTTTTCATCAACAGGTCAGTGCACAAATATTCCAGGTAGTGTCAGAGGTACAATTCCAGCTCACACAGACACTCCCTGCTCCCATCAGAGGATGGATAAGCAGGGACTGTCCTTACCCTGCAATAAATCAGGCATTGGAAAACTGTCCACAGGATTAAGGAAAGCTGACAGAGAACAGGAAACAAAGCATCTCCTTCATGTAGAAAAAACAAGAAGTCACTGTTTAGAAAATTGTATAGAAAGAGTCAGACACTGCTTTGCCATCCAGCTAAAGCTGCAAGGAAGTTTTGGTATAGAAAAAGAGACAAAAAAAAAAAAAAAGAACAAGGCTGGACTTTTGTAGGAGAGAATTGGGAGATTGATGGCTCAGGTTTGTCAATGTAAACCCAAAAATGGATGAGCTGTGAAAGACAACAACGTTCAGGAGTGGTCACTGAGGGCCCTGGGTTGGCACTTCAGTCTGCAGACCACACTCAGCCGGTGTCTGCACGGATTTGGTACCAAAATAGCTCTATAAAAAGCCTCCGCCTGATCTCTGAAAGAAAGAGAAGCAGAAAAGGTAGAAAACTAGAACTATGTACAGATTCTTGCCATTGGTTTGCTTTATCAGGATTTAAAAAAGCAGCTTTTGGAGCCAATGTTCCAGACTAGAGTAAGAACCTGCCCTGGGGAGCAGGGAGCAGCCCTGCAGTTGTGGCTCCCCCAAGAAGGAGCTCGAAGGCATCAGAGATGAGAATTTGGGCTCCAGAGAAATCCCAGGGGTTCCCCAGAGCACTGGGAGCCTGCCTGGGAACAGCTCTGCCAAACAAGAGGACAAGTCAGAACCCAAGCCTTGGATCTTCTAGGAAGGAAAGAATGGGAATATCCCAAACAAACAAAGCCCAGGCTGGTCTCGGTCCATGGAAGATCCCACCATGGAAATTAAAAGAATTTGTGCATAAAGACTTGAACATTCTTCTGTTCTGCTGTTGGACAAGGTGAGAAAAAGAAGAGTTTTGTGCTGAATGGCTGATTCAGCCTTAAAAAAGCTCTGAGGAAGATGAGGAGAAAGGAAGAGAGGAGGTTAAGCCTTAAAGAAGGTCTGAGGGAATGGGGAAGATGAAATAAAAGAGAGTCACTGCTCAGAACTGAAAATTTCAGCAAGCACATGGCCTCAGGTGCCTGGGCCAGGCATCAAGCCAAACTGAAGGTATTTAATTGATTTAATTTAATTGATTTCTCTCTACCTAAAGACCTGGAATTTAGGTGCCAAGGGGAGCTGTGAATCTGCATTTCACAGCACTTGCTTCAAGTACTCACTGAGCAGGGGCTTGAGAAACTGTGGCTCTCCTTCGCATACAGTCACTGCAGGGGCTGGATGTGGCAGGTGAAAGGCAGCTTCTGCAACTGGTTATTAAGAAAAAGAATGGTTTTTAACAATAAAATCCACCCCATTTGTGGGGCTCATGATTAACAGTACATAAGTGATCATATATACCTCGAGGAACTGAGTTTTAAAAAAATATTACAGTACCAATGATTTTTTTTTTTTGTATCTACAACTATACAGCATTTTCAAGCAGTATGGAAATTTAATGAAATAATTATGATTTATTAATTTACATAAAAATACTTTTTACAGTTAAAGAATAAATCTTAAATGGTAAAAAAAATAAGATTAAGAAGCTCCAGCTATTGAGAGTCGTGGGAATTTGTCTGCTCTTCAATCACTTGTTTGACAATTTCTGCCAGTTTTAGTCGATCCACTTTGTCTGTGAATCCTCTGCCTGGAAGGGGAAAAAAAAAAAAAACCAGGGAATCAGCTGGAGCTGGGCACAAGGTGGAAAGCAATCCCAGCTGGAATGAAACAATGCTTCCCACAAACTCAGGGCAGCACAGGATCCAAAAGAACTCACAGACCATGGAAAAATGGAGCAATTAAAGATCTCAGTGAAAGCCAAGCAAACAGACCAGGAGGAAGCAGGACCAAGCCCTTGTGAAGCTGGCTGAGGCTCCTGGTCCCTTCCATCCACCAGCTCCTGCTCCTGGGGCTGAGCCCTCTGCAGCCTCCTCTGGCCAGGAGCCACCTGAGCATTCCAAGGTGCCTGTCCTGCTTCCATTCTGCTTCCAAACTGGGCTGACAGGGAGGAGCAGCCTCCAGCAGAAAGAGGGAATAAACAGCTGGATGGAAAGCAGCTCAGCACAGCTGGAGAGGTTCCTAAAAGGATCACAGAATCGTGGGATGGTTGGAAAGGACCCTAAAGGTCATCTGGGCAGGGACATCTTCCACTATCCCAGGTTGCTCCAAGCCCTGTCCAACCCCTCCTTGGACACTTCCAGGGATGGGGCAGCCACAGCTTCCCTGGGCAACCTGTCCAGGGCCTCCTCACCCTCACAGGGAAGGTTTTTTGCACATATCCCATCTATCCCTGCCCTCTGGCAGTTTAAAATTCCCCCTTTCTATCATGATCAATCTGTGCTGTTACATTCCCGGTGCTTCAGGAAACTCAACCCCGAGCCTCAAATAAAAATTTCAAAGCAACTTTTTCACCCCCATTTTGGGAACATCAGTTGTGGCAGAAGGGATAAAACAGTGTCAAAAGCTAAATCAGCCCAAATCCAGTACACTGGGGGTTATTTCCATAGCAGGGGGTGTGTGCTTCCCCTCTCCCACATTCCCTGGGGGAGAGCAGGGATCCTCACCGTTCCAGCTGAAGCTCTGCAGGGTGTCTCGCAGCAATTTGCACTCCCTGTTGTATTTCCAGGCCTCCTGCATCACTTCATTCAACTTCTCATCTTCATTCTCTCCTGGTTGGGACAACAGAGGGACACAGGAGGTTTGGCCTCGTGCCTCACTCAGGGCTCAGCAAACTGGGCAGTTATTCCTGCTGACCCCACACAAACCAGGAAATGGCCTTCAAACCAAATATTCCTGTTTAAAAGTTCTTTTAACAGCTCTGCATGTCACTAAAATTCCACATGAACCCAAATCCCAGCTCAGAGGCTGCTCAGACTTCCCTTCCTTCCTCACCACTGACACAGACAGACCCAAAGGTGGGGTCTTGCACATTTAGGAATAAAAGGTTCTTAAAAGTGGCAACCTTTACCAGCCTGTGGTAGAATGCACTGAGCAATCACATCTCTCAGCTTCTCCAGAGCCACGTTGGAATCATTGCTTCCATTCTCAGGGTCATGGATGTAAACACCATCCTTTGGCTTGGTGCTGCACAAGAACAAGGGGGAAATAATTAGCATTTAACGAGCTCAAGCTCGTTACTTGTTGTGTAACTGCTGCAGTCTAACACAGCTCCTTCCCTCTCTGGGAAACTGGGAGACAGGTTCAGCATTAATTATAATTCTTGATCATTTTAAGTATGGAGAAAAAGGAATATTCTTTTAAATTACTTCAAATAAGGGTGATCCTAAAATGTATGAGTCTATTTTTTAGATTAATTCCAACAAAGAGAGAGAGAGAGAGACACAGAGAGGTTACCTGACTTCTTCAGTAAATAAATGTCAGGATGAGAAAAAAATATCTTAAGAATTTTTTCTCCCAGTTTGCCTTATCTTACACGTGACCCATCATCCCAACAGGAATCTGCTCAATGCAGGAACAGCATCCAACCTCCTTCCTGCCCTCACTGGCACATCTTGGCAGAAAACCCACACTGTGCCACTGCTACTTGTCTGAGCAACACCACAAGTGTGTTAAACCATCTCAACTGAGCCTGTGCCATTCCCAAAGCCATTCCCAGCTGGCTCCAGGTTGTCCTTCCAAGCCCAGCTCTGGAGTTACCCCAGGAGTTTCCGCTTGCGCAGGATCGGGTTGTTCACGGAGTGAAGGGGTTTCAGGCTCACTTTGAGGTCCTGGATTCTCATGTTTGCAAGTTGTTCTGCATGAGCCTGTTGGATCCCTGCCACCATGGCCTGGAAAGACAATGGAGACAGTGTTTGCCGTGGGTGAAAAAAAAGAGGCGCCAAAATTTGATTTATTTTGGAGATGTGCAAGAAAAATCAGGTTTGCGTGAAGCAAGGTATTGGTTGGAACTAAAATCAGTGACAAAATATCCCTGGGGGAAACAGGACAAAGGATCATCTCCTCCTCATGGTCACAGGATTGACTGAAATCCTCTTTGAGCAGAAATTCAAGGAAACAAGGACTATTTGTGTAATTAGTGAGGTCATTGCTGTATGACCTCATAAAACATGGCAAAAAGAGGGAAGACCTATGGAAGATCCCTCAGGCTCTGCAATCCACCATCAGCACATGGCTGCTTGTTAGCACCATCTGGGAGCATCTCCTTCAAGCCCAAATTTCACATTTTATTCCCATTTTCATTTCTGTTTCCATTTTCTCCCTATGATCTCAGGCTCCCCTTAAGCAGAAGAGAAGTTCCTTATCTGCATAACCCCACATCAAAAAAAGCCCTTCACCCATCCCAGAGCTCTCCTGCTCCTGTGCAACATTCCTGACCAAATAACTGCTGCTCACACCTTGTCCATCATCAGCTGGGCAGAGGGCAGGATGTTGTCCAGAGCTTCTGTGGAATTGAGCCAGGGATGGTCCAACACCCCCTCAATGGTCAGACGTTCCTCAGGTTTGACCTTCAGCAGCCTGGGGAGGAAAGAATAAATCCCTAAGAAGGGCTGTGGTGATTTACAGAGCATTTAAGCATTTTCAAGGCTAAAAAAACCAGCTTTGCCAAGAGCTCAAATTGCCCCAAAATGAGCCCAAAATCTGTGCCAGCTCCCTGAGCTTGCTGGGGTTTAGTGCTGGCACAGCTCATCAGGGCAAAGGAGGGTGCTAAAGGCATTCCTGGGGTTCCCCTGTGCTGCTGGGTTTCCACAGCTGCTGCTCCCAGGTGGGAAATCACCTCCAGAGGAGCTGGAAATGATCCAGGCTGGCACTTTCTGGAAAGGCACTCCCAGAGCTCACGCCCAGAACAGGTTACACTCATCCCAAGGACTCTGGGCATGCAAACTCTGCAGCATTCACTGCTCCCACCGTGCCACTCCTCAGCTGTTCTCCCCCCTGCAAAGTCCTCAAGTGATGAACACTTTGGTTCCAGCTCCTCAAAATAAAAAGCAACTTTATTCCAAGATTGCTGAAAACTCCATTAAATAATTTTTTTTTCCTAGCACGAAACCCTGGAAAGAGGATTTACAGATCAATTTGTGTCCTCACGATGAGCACAACTAAATAAAAAAGCAAGATTTCCCCCAGAGTGCTGACAAGTCATCCCAAAGTCTGAATGAAAATGGGAATGACTCCATGAGCCTGTCACACTTCCTCAGACAACTCCAGATCAGCTTCTTGGCTGCAGAGCACAATTGTTTAATGCACCAAGAAAGTGGAAATAACTTGTCCAAAATGTCAGCAGCACCACGGGGGAGAGCAGCAATGCCACTTGCTGCCAAGCAGGTTAAGCTCACTCTTGATAGCAGCCACGTGCATTCCTTTGCCAGGCATTTCCCAGATCCTAAGCCATTATCAAGCCCTCATCAAGCCTGAGGTCAGAAATCAGCCTGGATCCATGTGACAACATCCTCAGAGCTGACTTCCATGGGAATTTTGAAAGACAATGAAACCTTTTGCCTGTGGAGTTTCTGTGTGAGAATAAAGAGCTGACCTTGGTATAAAGGAAAGTTAATTTAATGAAAGGTTGGGGGTTCTCCTGCACAGCTCTAAAAAGGGCTCAGCACCCTCTCCAAACAATGTGAATTCCTTGGAGAATTTACAGTGCATCTCAGGAGCCAGTGACACTTTTAAATTACTTCCCCAAGTGATTTTTTTTCCTATTTATATTGCTTTTATTCCCTCAGCTCCTCTCTCTGGTGATGCAAAGGCAGTAAGTCCCTGTCACTTTTTCAAAAATAAGTGAGGTCAAGCCCTAATCAGTGCCACGTTCTTGCTCCCAAACAGACCAAGTCTTTGAAACACTCCCAGCTGAGGGATGTGCCCTGCATGGAAAACAGACTCCATTAGCATTTGGAATAAAACATCCATGCAAAACCTTATCTGAGTCTGGCACCTCATGACAGATCTTAATCTCCCTCTCCATCCTCCTGCCTGATTCTTTTTAGGTTCTGTATGATGTGCACAGGGCTTTAGGGGACAGATTTACCACGTCCCATTAAAGGCACTTGATTTTCACAGGAATTCAAATGTTATCCCAGGAAATCCGTGCCAGCTGTGTTATCCTGAAACCCTTCAGTGCTCCCACTCCCCTTGAAGACTCAATACACAATTCACCCCAACAAAAGAGACATCAACATTAAACACTTGGACAGGGGAAAGAAAACATTTCCTAGACTTGCTTATGCTGAATGTAACAGAGAATTTGTCAGCTGGATGAGCTGCAGACAATCCCCAGTGCTGGGATAAGGCACTTCCAAGGTGCTTTTCCACTTCCTTAACATGGAACCATTCCAATTCCTTAACACAAGCACAGAGCAACAGCAGAGTTCCCTCCAAGGACTCACTTTCTGACAATGTCTTTTGCCATTTCTGAGATCTGGCTCCACTCCTCCTCTGGGAACTCGAAGCTTCCTGTCATGATCTTTTTCCTCATGTCCTTGGGAATCGTCCGGCTGTGGTGCTTGGAGTAGAAGGGGGGGTACCCACACAGCATCACGTAGATAATCACCCCCAGGGACCACAGGTCACAGCTCTGCAAGCAAGGAAAGGGTCACTCTGGGGAGCAGTTTGCAGCAAATACTGGGGGAGTTCTGATAAAAGTCCTGTGTGATTCCCTAAAGGAACAGAAGCAGCTCAGCTCCTCCTCCAGATCCACCTTCCTGGATAAATCTGGCTGCTGGGACAAGGCAGCTCCAAGCTGAACAACTTCCAGGGCCTTGGGAATTGTCTGGGACAGCCAGAGCTGCAGAGGTGTGAGAGGTTTATTGTCACAGACACATTTTATGAAAAATCCTTTCCTTGGGATTTTTCCTCCTGAGAAGCTGAGAGGCCTCAGGAACAAAATGTGAACAATGGTTATCTGCTGCTGTGGGATGCAACAGGTGCATCTGGGATTGGGCTCATGTGGTTGTTTCTAATTAATGGCCAATCACAGCCCAGCTGGCTCAGACTGTCTGAGAGTCACAAGATTTTATTGCCATTCCTTTCTTTGCCTTTTGATAAAATCCTTTCTTCTATTCTTTTAGTATAGTTCTAATATAATATATATCATAAAATAATAAATCAGCCTTCTGAAACATGGAGTCAGATCCTCATTTCTTCCCTCTTCCTGGGACCCCTGTGAACTCCACCACAGTTTATTGCTTTGTGGATAAATCTGGCTGCTGGGACAAGGCAGCTCCGAGCTGAACAAATTCCAAGTGCTTGGGAATTGTCTGGAACAGCCGGGGCTGCAGAGGTGTGAGAGCCTTATTGCATCTCTCAGGATACCTGAATCCTACCCCCAATCCTCAATCCTACCCCCAATCCTCAATCCTACCCCCAATCCTCAATCCTACCCCCAGTCCCATAAAAGGATCCAGTTGTTTCCAATGGGAGGCTGAAAACAGAACAACCACCCAAGAAAGGAACAGCAGGGAAACGGAATCAGAGCTGCCTGTGGGGGCAGCCAGGGACAGGACAGGACTGCCATGGAAGGACAGAGCACCTGGAAGCTCTCAGTGCCCACTCTGGGTGAGTGCCAGGTGCTGCTTTTGCAGAATCACCCCCAGGGACAAGGCCCTTCCCTCAGCAGCTCTGTCACCCAGTGCCACCAGAGCAATTCTTCACATGGAACATGGAAAGCAAATCCCTCCCACCCTGGAAATCCCAAATCAAGGGACAAGAGAGGGAAGAAGAGACTCCATATGAAAACACAACTGGCACATTCTAAGGAGTTCAGAAACAGAAGTGTCTGCTACCATCACCAGCCTGGCTCTCCAGGATGGAGAGAGGCAGTCAGAGCCTGAGGAAGGCAGATTTGTGGTGCAGAGTAATTAATAATTGCTTTAACTCTCTCTGTGAGGCCACTGAATGCCAACACTGCATATCAAACACCTGCTCAGGCATGGGGTGGAATAAACAACCATCCCTAGAGCTGGAATCAGGACAGATCCTTACTCTGGGATCACAAACCAGAAAACCTGAACTAAAATTGACACACCCAGAACACTCAGTGGTTCAAGCACTGCTCAGCCAGCAGGAGACAGCGATGATAATAAGCAGGAAAACGTTTTGGAATGCCCAAAAAAAGATTAGGACCTTTCAGGACATTTCCTGCCATGATTCTGCCAAGATTCCAGCAGCTACACAATAAATCCTTGATTGTTTTCAACAAGATTCAGGTACAGAGCAGTTCCTGGCACAGCTGCCTGAACAAGGAATGCTGTGCACATCCAGAAACTCTGGCAGCAGGAAAGGGATTCCCTTTGAACAGAGCTGAAAGGAACTTCCCTCACGGCCTCACTCCAGCAGACTCCTTCTACTCTCCCCAAAATCTTGTTCACATTTAGTGCTCCTTAACAGCATTTGTGTCTTTATCCCTCCTTCATTAAAGGATCATTAATTAGGTGTGCACTAAGTGTGCATTTTATTTTTTGCTCTATCAGAAGCACCAGTGGGGTGGGGAAGACTTTGAAAGATGTTTCCCAGCTCACCTTGTTGTAGGTGTAAGGGGTTGGAGAGGTGGGGATAATACCAGACTTTTCTTTCTGATGTCTTCTTTGTGCCTCCAATACCTGGTGAGAGGGGAAATAAAACAAAGAAAAATCCATTTCATGGACAGGCAACACAACCAGCAAAGCCTGTGCCAAAGATTCCTGATGCTTTTCCATTCAAGAAACTTATTTCAGCTACTGAACACTACCAAAGTCCAGTTTTTCTCCTTAAGAAAGCCTGAAGCTTTCTACATGAGGGAAATACTAAAATATATAATATTTCAGGGCACTGAAATCTCCAGTTCTGTCTGAATTAAACACTTGCTCAGAACCTCCCACCCCTCCATGCCTGGAACCAGAACCTGAAGTGTGTCTGGAGGGTAACCCCAGCTCAGAGCTGTCCCTCTTTGCCTCTCCCTGCACAAATCCCATCAAATGTGTCCCTTGCTGAGCCAGGCTGTGGGGTTGGGCTGCAGGGAGCCCCAGCAGGCTCCAGCTGGGAAGGAATTTGATGAATTTTCAGGGCATGCTCTGATCTCTGAATTGCCCTTCCCAGTGATTAAAGGCAGCAGCCCAGCACTGCAATTAAATCTCCATCTGCAGCTGCTTTTCATTTCCTGCAGGATCCAACACAAAGGACAGGAGAGGGGCAAAGCAGCACTACAAAGAGCAGCCTGTGTGTAATTACAGATTGTGTTTAATGACACAGGGGCCAGGCCCAGGTGCCCAGGTACCAACCCTCTGCCCCTGCCCTTTGTGAGCAGCCTTTTCAGAACCTTTTTCTTCTTTTTAATGGACTCCTGAATGAGCTTGAGCTGGAAGGAGGATGGCAAGGCAGGGATTTCTCCAAAGCAGCTGCTTTAATTCAGCTGAAGGCCATTTATCACCATCAGGGCTGAGCAGAGTCTGGGAAATTTGCTTTATCAACAAATCCCTGTGGCACTCCAGCTCAGGGTGGAGGGATTCCTGCAAGGTTCCTGCACTCAGAGCCCTTCCAGGACAGAAAAGGGGGTTAAAATAACGTGGATATGGAGGCTGAGGCAATAAATGATCCCCCTTTAGGCCAGAGCAGGAACTGGTTGTTACCTGAGGTGCTACATAATAGGGAGTGAACTGGGGTGTCATCAAGTCACCTTGGTCTACTTTGGCAAACCCAAAGTCACACAATTTAACAGGTGCATCCTAAAACAAGGAGAAGATGCTTTATTAGACAAATCTCATTAAATCAGCTTTTCTAACACAGAATTCTCCCCCTGTCCTCATCTCACCTTTTCCAAGCATTGTATTTGTACCCTCACACTCCAGCAGGCAGCTGAAAGGTCCCAAACTGAGCTTTCAAAGCAGGGGTTTTGCTTTTCTGGGTGCTCTGGGCCAGGAACAGCCCCCTCAGGGACTGGGAAGGCCCTGAGCCCCTTGGAGGGGGGGTCACTGCATATCCAGGCTGGTGGTGAGCAGGAGACACAAAGAATTGTTTGGATCTATCAGAGCACCTCTGGGCAGAGGCTCAGAACATCCTGAATGAGGGGGCAGAGCTGGACCCTGAGTTCAGGTGCAGAACCTGACTCCTATTTTACAGCAGCAGCAGCAGGGACTCACTGCCCTGCAAGGAGATCAGGGGATGGGAAAGCACCAAGTCCATCCAGGTGATTCAATTTGCAATTTAATTGAATTCAACTGAAATTTTCAACTGAAAATTCATTTCCATTAATTTTTTTTTTCTTCAATTGAATTTACAATTTCAATTTTGTCACCAAAACATTCGTGTCATTTTACCACTACTCTGAGAGTCACCCTTGAGCCACACTTCACCAGAATTCAGCAGCAAAAGAATTGCAAATGTTCATCTTACCAGAGAGTTATCCTTGAAGAGGAGATTCTCAGGCTTGAGGTCTCTGTGTGCAATGTTTAGTGAGTGGCAATGCTGCAAAGCCAAAGCTATCTGGAAAAGGGCACAATAAATCAGCTACAATCACTGACCTCCTCCTGCAGCCTGGACATTTATTGCAGCTTTACAAAGGACATTTCCAACCCCAAATATTTTAACTCCACCCAAGTGGAGCTCTCCTTCAGGACAAGCCTGGCCCTGCTGCACTGAGGTGACAGCTGGGACATGAATCCCACAGGAAACAAAAGCCAGGCTGGCCTGGGCTCCCCAACCTCCTCAGTCTGGGAACTCAAGGCATTGAGAGCCCCCAAAGTGAAGCAGGAGGTGCCAGTGCCCCTTCCCTGCTGTGCCAGGGTTCCAGGGTGCTGCCCCTGCCCAGCAGGGAGTTCAGGATTCCAGGGAATCTGCAGATCCAACACTCAGGCACTTTTATTCTTTCATTTTGGATGGGCACTGCCTGCACTTCACTCATTCTGTGGATACCCCACAGAAATGCATTCCTGGATTGTTTCAAGGATGCTTTGGGAACCTGCAGTCCAGGCAGGAAAAGCTCCAGGGACTGCACATTTCCAAGTGCAATTCATTTCAAGAAAAGCCAAGTATAAATATTTAAACAGCATTCCTGGGACAGAAGCGAGGCACAGCCTCACAACCCTTATTTGGAAGCATCCCTGCTGCACTCTGTAGGATCCTACCCAAGTTTAGAGTCCTTAAAAACCTCCAAATTACTGTCACAAGAGAACTTCACTGCTAACTCAGCTCAGCAATGAATACAAACACATTCCCAGAGAAAATGAGGCAGTGCTGTGAAAAGCTTTAACCATTCCTGGGTACAAGACAGGGATGAAGAACCACCTTAGAAAATAATTTCACATTTCAAACTTCATTTCTATGAACATTAAAGCAAAGAGTTACTTGAGACATGAATAACCCAAGTGTACACACAGAATTCAAACCAAAGTCTTGATTTCTGGTAAAGTTTTACAAGTTTTCCCCCTCGTGTCAAAGAAATCAAACAGCCCAAAGGATGTCAAACAAAAAGAATAATTCTGTACTTCCACCTCATTTCTTTGTTGGATGAGACCAAAAAGTACCAGCACGATTAGCATTTCATTAGAAACAAGTCAAAGCACAAAAGTAACACAAATTTTTTGCCCCAGGTTCAAATATTCTCTCTCCAGCTGAGGGGAACTGGGGATCCCAGCACTGAATTCCACAGAGATCCTTCTGAGAGTCCCACCAGCAACAAAAAACCTGACGGACACCAAAACCCCCTGCAGAAACCACCATGGAGGTTATAAAATCATTCAGGAGTCAGCTGGGAGAGAAAGGGTGAAGGAACAAACAGACACAAAACCAGAACAAACAGACACATTCCTTCCTTGGGATCTTCCAGGAATTCCACAGCCCAAGCCCAGAACCCAGCCTGAAAACCCCTGGCCCAGAGGAGAGAAACGCCCAGGGGGTCACGGAGGTTCCAGAGCTCAGGAGGTTCCTGCTGGAGGCAACACTTTTAGGACAAGAAGAATGACAAAATTCTCTTGGGAGTCTTCTCTAGAGCAGGTGTGGAAAAGCAACGTTAAGCACAGCAGACCCAGAGAGAACAAAGCCCACACCTTCAATCCTTTGTTCCTAGTAAAGCTTGGGCATTGTCACTTATAACAAAGCAGGCAATGATCATCGGATCAGAACTGAGGAATCTTTGAATTCATCCTTTTTCCCCACCCTTCCAGCCCCGGGAATTGTCCCTACTTTAGCCAGAGCATGATGGATTTGCTGGGACAGGGGGTGACTTGCCTGCTTTGTTACTTGGCTCGCTTGCTTCTCAGTAAAGTGCCGGTGCTGGCTGATTCTGTGGAAGAGCTCTCCCCCTTCCATCATCTCCATTACAATTAGGAGCCGAGCCCTGTTCAAAAGCATTTCATGTTGTTACATTAAAAAAAGCATCCAAAAGAACAGAATTGCTAAGCTAAGAATGCATATTTCACACAAACACTGCTTTCTCTGTGCTGCTTTTGGGGCTATTTTGGTGCTGTCCGAGTTTAAAATCCTCCTGGTTTTTCTGGCTCCCAGGAAATCTCCAGTTTGCTCCTCCTGATGGGCTCCCACATCCAGCTGGAACAAACTGGACATGGATACATCCAGCTCCAGCCTGGATGGAGCTGGAAGCCATGTGGACACTCTGCCCTCGAGGATTACACAGCACGTGGATGGTTTTGAGGCTGGATCCCCCATTATTTTCATTTACAGCTTTACTGCCATCAATATGAAGGATAAAAAATAGGAAGGTGGAGATCAGGGCTGCCAGATCCTCAAGGAATCAACTCCCAGTTCCCACCACACAGCAAAATCAGCTACACCAGAGCCTAAGGCAGGTCTCAGCTCTTTCATTCTCCCAGCTCTGATGATTTTCTCCACTAAGATCCTATCAGAAGACAATATTTTTATCCAAATATAATAATGCATACACACACACACCAAAAAAAAAAAAAAATCACTCTGCTCCATGTTTTCCTGTGTTCATTTTAAGCAGGACAATGCATTGAGAGTTTTCAGGGCTGAATTTCATATTTTTAGAAACAACTCTTTCACACAATGCAGACTGAATCAATGGAAAACCTAAAAAAATGGAGATGCATTCAACACAGGGAATAAAGGAGGCAAAATAATTTAAATACACAAAAGTCAGGGGAAAAAAAAAAAACAAACAAGAGCTGCTTGGTCTGCAGGATAATTATTACACCTGGGACCCCCTTGAAATAATAATTTTGTGATTAAAACCAAAGCAAAGCAAAGCAAACTCCACTATACCTTGGGCTAAACATGGAAAAGAAGCTGTGGGAATGAATCCCCCTATGTAACCTTACCTGGGGCTGGATTCATGTGGGAACTGCACACTGTTAGCATAAACTTCAATTATTTGAACAATATTGGGATGTGTTGCACACATCATGTGCAGACGTACCTTGAAGAGAAGGGAAGAGCTGTTACTGCACACAGGGACAGGCACTGGGGCTAAAAACACCCCAAATTTGGGGCAGGTTGTGGGATCCCACAGAGAGCTCTGGGAAAAGCTCCATCTTGGGAGTGTTTTACAGGAATTTGGACAGAACCAGCTTTAAAGGAGCAATGCAGCACTTCAATGGAAGTGAAAATGAATGAAAAAAACCCAAAATTCCATCATCTGGAATGAATAAACCCCAAAACTCCATCATCTGGAATGAATAAACCCCAAAATTCCATCATTCCATTCGTGGCTAAGCACTCCCAACAGCTGGAACATCTGAATTAAAGCCTTGCTCAGAACCTCCCACCCCTCCATGCTTGGAACCAGAACCTGAGGTGTGTCTGGAGGGTAACCCCAGCTCAGAGCTCTCCCTTTTTGCCTCTCCCAGCACAAATCCCATCAAATGTGTCCCTTGCTGAGCCAAGGCTGTGGGGTTGGGGTTGCAGGGAGGCTCCAGCTGGGAAGGAACTGGGACCTCCTGTCCCAACATTCAGGAATTTCCCCCACTTTAAAGCTCCCTGGGCTGTTCAATCAAGCCAAGCCTTGGTGCTTTTTGGACACAGATGATTTTAATGGGAATTTTAAAGGACAATTTGCTCAGTGACAAGAAATGGAAGTTGCTTCAACCTCAAGGACAATTAACCCTTCTTTAAATTCCCCACAGCTTGGAGGAGTGCCCATCATTCCACAGGCTGACCAGTCTGACACCTCAGGAATTCCCAACCTGTGTCAGGAGCTGCTTTAGGTCCTGGCACATGGAAAAAAAAAATCCATTTCCAGAACAACTCGAAGCATTCTTGGAGCAGTGACATGTGGCAACAAAATTCCCTCTCAAACTGGTTCTGTTCCATTACAGGGAGAAGAACAGCTTGAAAACACAGCTCAGTTCATTAGAAACAAATCTCTGGATGCACAGCCAGCAAATGGGGGTTTGGTGGTGGGATTTTTATGCTTAAAACATCCCCAAAGCTTCAAAAATTTAAGGTTTTTTTTGGAGAGAAAAGCAGGAACTGTACCTCATTTCGAGCTTTTGGACGATCGAGGAGGATTTTCAGTGCAAAGCGTTCTTGGGAGGATTTTTTCATGCAGACTCTGGTATTACAGCAACAAAATCATTCAGTCAGCAAGGAGATGCAAAAGAGACACCTGAAGTAATTCATTTGTAGCTCTGAGTTTGTTCTCCACATGGGAATTCCCAGGAATGCCCCAAGTCTGGGATACATCCCTAAATTCAGCCCCAAGAGAGATTTTGGATGGAAATAACCCAAAGCACACCTGAAGACCCCCAGTGATTCTGGAATAAATGAAATATTTGGGATAGATAAAGTGGTTTGGGAAGGAAATCCTCATTTTGGGTGATGTTTTTTCTCTTTTTCCCCCCCTCCTTTAACAATTGAGGAGAGGGCCCACATTTGAAGAGGCAGCCAAAAGAACAAAGCACAAAACGAGTGTTTTAATGAAACAACCCAAAAAAGGATGAGGAGAACCCAGACAGGAAGAAAAATGATGGGAAAGACAAAGGGAGCACCCAGGGGTTTTCCAGCCCAAATTCCCATTTTCTGAAGGGAGGGGCTTTGTTGGAAAAGTGTTTTCCTTCCCAGAAATCATCCAGGGGTTAAAAATCCACGAGCAGCAGGGCTGGGATGCAAAGGCAGAGGAAAAGCTGGAAAAACAACAGGGAAAGCAGGGAAGGGGCAGGGCAGGGGGCTCAGCAGGAATTTCTGGTGTCATTATTCCAAAGCAGGCTGGGGGAACACACCAGCACAGAGAAGGGAGGAGAAATTTTCCTCCCCAAATTCCCAAAAAAAAAAAAGACAAAACCCCTCCTGCATGACCCACGTGGGGCACAGGCGTTTGTTGGTTTGGGTTTTCCATGTCTCCCATCAGGTTTTTTAGTAAAATACTCACAGACTCCTCCACAGGGCAGGGACAATCCTGGGTGTTCCCTTACCTAACAGGGCCACTGATCCCAGCTCCCAGCTTCTGAGTCCAGTTTATGTTGTATTCCTCTAAAATGGAGGTTTCCTGTTCAGGAAGGAGCAGCAGGAGGGAAAACACAGGCAATAAATACATAATAAATAAAATTACTACAGCTTTTCCCAAAAAAAAACCTCAAAAACAACTCAGCAGATCTGAGTGTAAAAATGCCTGCTTGGAGTTTGCTTTTCTGAGGAAAATATTTAATTTTAAATATAAATTATTATATAAATTTAAATATTTAAATATTATATAAATTTAAATTTAAATGTATATAATAATTTATATTTAAAATTATAATTATATTTGTATTTATGTTTAATAAATATAAATACAACTATAATTATAATTATAAATATAAATATATGACGAACATATAAAATGGAATATAAATATAGATTTGGCTATAAAGATGAATACAAATATAAGATAAACATATAAAATTAAATATAAATATACATTCTGCATAAATATAAATATACCTTTGAACATGAATGCAAATATAAAAATAAATTTACCATTATATAATTAGAAATACAATTATGAAAATAAATACAAATATAAATGCTCATATCATCATTTACCTGATTGAAATTGTTAAAATTGTTAAAATTTGAAATTGTTAAAATTATTTAGCTGATTAAAATTGTTAAAATTTTTGTTTCTGTGCAGCTGGAATTTCCAAACAGGGTTATTGAGAGCAGTAAATGGGATTTTGTGCTTTTAATACCCAAAGTGTACCAGGGGCATCTCTCCCTGACTCAGTTCCAGCTTCCTACCCAGAAATGATCAATCTCAATGAAACAAGGAGCCCATTTCAGCATTAAAATGCATTTTTTTGGTCACAGAAAACAGAAAATTGCAGGTTTCAAACCACTGGAGCCATCACAGTGTAAATTAAACCCTGCTTGATTAATTGTAGATTTTTCTGCTCATGAGCCAGGCTCCTTTTGTCCAAACCCACACAAACATGGCTGGGTTTTGTTAGGCCACACTTGGGTGCTCTCAGGCTTAACCACATCCCAAGGCAGCCTTTAAACCCAGCTTTAAACCCAGCTCAGAGCTTTGATTGATGCCCTGAGCTGGGCCTTTGTTCCTTTATTAAATTCCTGCCTGTGCTCAGGATAAATCACAGCACAAGGAGCTGCTGCAACAGCAGCACAAGGAAAAAACAATTCCCAAATCCACTGGAAATTCATGGCAGGAGCCACCCCTGAAGGTTTTTAAAGGGTTTGGAAGGAAGGGGCAGAAATCTCAGTGGATCACAGAAATTTGTGGCGCTCAAAGAAACTTCTGACCAATTGAACTCAGATAAATTTCACTTGTGAGGAAGAATTTCCCTTGTTAGGGAAAAGCTGATTTAATTTTTCTGCTATTCAGCTGCAGAGGGCTGAAAACAGCAGGGGTGGGGTGAAAACACAATTTTAGGAGGGCATTAATGAGCATTTAGTATCTATTTCCTATTCTGTGTATTTGCCATTGTTTTAAAGAAAAAAAGCAACGATTTTACCTCCTGCCCTTTTTAAATTTGGATCCCAACCTTGACCCAAAGCAGGTTTATAACTCAGCGGTAAAAATGATTAATTCATGGTCAAGAACCACAAATGACACAAAATCCAGGATTTAGGAGCCACTTCCACCTCCCAGCTCAGGAATGGCAGCTCCAACCTTAGCACCAGGAATTCCCAGCATTGCCAGGGAAATGTTCACTCTTTTCCAACCTGAAAAATTCCAGGATTTTGATCCTAAGCAGCTGAAAATGCTTTAAAAGCACCAATGTGTTTAAAAACATCCAAGTGTTTCAGCTGGATTTCACTGGTATGGAATTCCTGGGAATATCCAAAATTCCAGGAACCTGAAACTTCTGATTAATAACCTGGATTTTCAGTGGGGAAAAAAGGGGGATGATGATGTGAAATATCCAGAATTCCAGCAGAGTTTCACAACTCCACGTGGAGCTGGGATCTCCCCAGGAGCAAAATTCCCTCTCACCAAGGCTGAGCCAAGAATTTGGGAACTACCCCAGCAGGCTGGGATGCCCAGGGCCTGGGAAAGGAGAATTCCAAAAGGAAAAGCAGAATTCCCAGAGTAGAGGCAGAATTCTCAGAAGAAAAGCAGAATTCCCAAAAGGAAAAGCAGAATTCCAAAAAGAAAAGCAGAATTTCCAGGGGAAAAGGAGAATTCCAAAAGGAGAAGCAGAATTCCCAAAAGGAAAAGCAGAATTCTCAGGGGAAAAAGCAGAATTTCCAAAGGAGAAGCTGAATTCCAAAAAGAAAAGCAGGATTTCCAGGGGAAAAGGAGAATTCCAAAAGGAAAAGCAGAATTCCCAGAGTAGAGGCAGAATTCCCAAAAGGAAAAGCAGAATTCTCAGTGGAAAAGCAGAATTCCCAAAAGAAAAGCAGAATTTCCAGGGGAAAAGGAGAATTCCAAAAGGAGAAGCAGAATTCTCAGGGGAAAAAGCAGAATTCCCACAAGGAAAAGCAGAATTCCCAAAAGGAAAAGCAGAATTCTCAGGGGAAAAAGCAGACTTTCCAAAGGAGAAGCTGAATTCCAAAAAGGAAAAGCAGAATTTCCAGGGGAAAAGGAGAATTCCAAAAGGAGAAGCAGAATTCCCAAAAGAAAAGCAGAATTTCCAGGGGAAAAGGAGAATTCTCAGGGGAAAAAGCAGAATTCCCACAAGGAGAAGCTGAATTCCAAAAAGGAAAAGCAGAATTTCCAGGGGAAAAGGAGAATTCCCAAAGGAGAAGCAGAATTCCCAGAGCTCTCCCAGCCTGGGTCCCTCTCCCAGCCCAGCCCTGCTCAGAGCTTTTCCAACCCCACGGATTCCATGATCCCACTGGAGATTTGTGGGATTAAGGGTTTTTTTTTTTTGACCAGCACACCCCAAAAAAAGCCTTTTTCCCTCACACAAAACACCAATTTGTGGGATTTGTCCCTTTTCTGACCCAGAGATGGGGGAACTGAGAGGGGCTTATAAACATTTATTCCATTTTCAGTCTCAGGTGAAGGGTGAGACAATTCAGGTGTTACAATTCACACCATCACAATCAGAAGCCAATTATTTCTAATTTAATTTTTAATTTTTTAAATTATAATACATTATATGCATTTCTTTGCCTATCAGCTTTTACTACTCCATGCTGTAAATGCCTCAAAAAAAAAACCCAATAATCTAAAATTACCCCTGTGGAGTAATTTGTTATTTTAGTAATTTAAGTAATTTTAGTTATTTTAAGCTATTTTAGTAATAGGGCTTTCTGCAAGGCTGTCCTTAAATTTATTTCTGAATTTCTGTCCTGAAATTTATTTCTATTTCTCAACAATGCCTGTCCTGTTCCATGGCATTTCTAAGCCAGCATTTGTAATTTCAAGGTTTGCATACAGATGGAGACTGTGTAAACCTTCCATCATGTTTTAAAAACATTTAAAAACCTATTTCTTACAGGTATTGATGGGAAACGGTTGGAAATTGAAGTTTTGGGAGTCCCAGGGTGACTGGGAGGAGTGCAGGATGCTGCTGGGACAAACTGGATGCAACCAGAGAAAAATCCCATCCTGGGGAATTCCAGCTCCTGCTCCTCCAACCTCTCTCAATCCCCAAATCTGGAAATAAATCCTGTCCTAAATTCCAGACCCTGAACCCCAGAACAACCAAGCCTGAGCTAAACCAAGGATTTGAAAAGCAAAATAAAATCGGCATAAAGTAGAAAATGATCAGTACTTATTAAAGTACTAAAGATTATAAAAGTATTAAATTATACAAGTTTAATTTATACAGGATTTAGAAGGAAGGGGCAGAAATCCCAGTGGATCAGAGGAATTTGGGGGTTTCAGGAGGAGCTCACAGAAACTTCTGATCAATTTAACTCAGATAATTTTGTGGTTTGAGGACATTAATCCGGGAAAGGTGAACAAAGCTGGGGAAGAAGGATTTGGACAAAAGGAATGAGGAACTTCTGGGCCATGCGGACATTGGGCAGAACCCGCAGAATAAGGAAGAAAATAAAAACCCTAAAAAACTTCATATCCGAGTTGGGATCAGCTGCACCGGGTAAAGGGGAATTGCAGCAGGGACAGATCGGGACCAACCCCGAGTCCCGATGGAAGGGCAGGAGCGAGCGCGGCACTAATTACCATGGATAATGAGAGCCTCATTAACCAGCAGCACTAATTAATGAGCGAACACCACAACTCGCGGCCAGCGAGCACCAATTCCTCTGCTCGCTAAAACACAAACACCACAAACTTCAGCTCCTCGGTTCGCGGGATCCCGAGCAAACCCCCCGGGACGAACCGCCCCAAAATCCGCCCCGCCGGCGGCGTCCCCCGCCAACCTTGATCGTCCTGTCCATGTCGTGATCGTGCGACATCGCCCCGCGGGGCGCGGCGGGCCCGGCGCCGCCTCAGGCAAGGCGCAGCCCCGCTGGAGCCTTTGTGCCGCCGCCGCTCCGCCTCATGCCCGGCCGGGCGGGCCGCGGGTGCGGCGCGGGGAGGGCGCGGGGCCCGCGCGGAGCCGCCGCTCAACCGGGAGGAGCCGCCCGGGAGCCGGACATCGCCGGAGCCCCCACCGGGCAGCCCCGCCGGACAGCGCGGCCCGCCGCGGCAGCGCTGCCGACGCCGCGAGCGGCACGGGAGGAGGGAGCGGGATCGCCGCGCCCGCCACGCGCCCACCGCGGGGTTTTGGGAGCCGCCGCCACGGCGCTGGAGCGGTTCGCAGGCGGCTGCGGGCAGCTCTAAAAGCGCGACGGCAACGGGAAAGACCCCACCGGGCTTTCTAGAAGGCTGGCGCTTTGTGATGACGTTATAATCACCGAGACTCGGGGGGCGGAGCTAATCTCGCTGACCCCTCCCCTAAGTCTGCCCTCCCGAAGTCTCGCGAGACGTCGGTGGGCGGGACCTACCGAAGGGATTTGCCGCCCGTCGGGGCCCGGAGGTGTCGCGAGAACTCGGCGCGCCCGCTGGGCTGAGGAGCCGGGTGGCTCCAAGTGTCGCGAGATCTGAGGGGAACGGCCGCCCTCAGGGCCGTGAGGGGGAAGCGGCGATGAAGGAGCCGCCGAGGCCGCTCGGTGCCCTCCGCTCCTCCCCAGAAATCACAGCATGGCCGTGCCTCCCAGGGCAGCCCCACCGCCCTCACTCACGTTCAGACCCCGCTCACTCCTCCAGCCGGGTACCAGCTGGAATGTCCCTGTAACATCAAGGCAATACAAGCACAGCGGGCAGGGCAGAAAGAGCAAACCTTTAAAAATAACGGGTGAGGGAATTTGTGTGTGTCTGGGCTCACTGGCACAAACCTCCCACAAAAGTAGGGTTGACTGCACCGAGACAAGAAATGTTTATTTGGAGTGGCTACAACCAGCAGGACGGAACAAAAAAAAGCACTTTTCCCTCAGATTTCACGCTGCTCCCTGGCCCAGGTACACATCGAACTCCGTTCACTTTGGTCACAGAAAATAAACATAGTTTATAGGACAAGGGTTATAGACCTAGTTCTGTAAGCCAACACAGCGTTGTTATTTTCTATTCTCTAAATCCTCCTAGACTAAAGAAGCATTTAAATGAATTCTTGGGGGAAAAAAGCTCGTTTATCAACTAGAGATGTAAAGATCACACCCCTCTCCTATGGGTGACTGCACTCACATAATACATTCCCAAAATAACCATCCCACCTTGTTAGTGCTCAGCCAGCTGCATTTGGTATTTTAAAAAGATAAAGCCAAGTAGGTTTGTTTCTTTTTTTAACAAAAGCTCCTTTAAACACCTAAAAAAACACCTCTTACTGCAGAGTTACGTATTTTTGCATAATAAATTTTCTGTGTTGAGCTTTCCTCATAAAGCTGCATAATTATTTTCAAATCTGTGGAGAAGGTTGCCATCCTTTAGGAGTTTTTCTGTGGAATTTTGATTGTCACCTAGGGATTAAAAAAAAAAAAAAGGGGAAAGTTACAAGTTGGTTTTTTTTCTTTGCAGGGATATTCACTGGAATGGCGAGAGGCAGGAGAAAAACCAGTGTATCCCAGTCAGGGACGGGTTTGGAGATTGGGAAAGCTCAGGGACTTAGGGAGAGGGGGGAGCTCAAGTTTTGGGTTCCAGCTCTCAGCCCAGCCCTCACCAATGGCACAGGGACATTTTGGAGCTGCAGCAGAGGGTTGGGAAGGCCTTGGCTGCAGGAATACTCACATTTTTCACCTCCACGTAGGCCTCCAGGCCGTACTCCCCCAGCTCCCTCCCGTTGCCAGAGGCTTTGTAGCCCCCAAAGGGAGCCTGGGCTCCGAACACGTCGTAGCAGTTGATCCTGGAAGGGAGAGGGAGGGTGAAACAGCTCAGGGAGGAGCTCAGCTGGGTGGGATTCCTGATTTTGTCCATTCCCCCAGCACAGAGCAGGCAGGACACAGAACCCACCCACAGCTCTCAGGAGCCAGGGCCAGGTGTGCAGTTTGCACCCTCAGCTGTGACTCACAGAGATCTCCACCCTCCCAGCAGGGATTCCTGCCCAATATCCCTGCCCTGCCCTCTGTCCTGTCCCTCCATCCCCTGTCCCCAGTCCCTCTCCAGCTCTCCTGGAGCTCCTTTAGGCACTGGAAGGGGTTTAAGGTCTCCTTGGAGCCTTCTCCAGGTGAACAACCCTAGATAGCCACTCTCACAGGAGAGATGTTCCAGCCTAAATAAACAAATATCTATTTTTAAAAATCTATATTAAAAAAATATATCAAATATCTATTAAAGAACCTATCCAAAAATCTATTAAAGAATCTATCCAAAAATCTATTAAAGAACCTATCCAAAAATCTATTACATATCTATTAAAAATTCTATATCTTTAAAAATCTGTCAAAATCTATTTTAAAAATCTATTAAAATCTATTTTAAAAATCTATTAAAATCTATTAAAATCTATTAAAATCTATTAAAATCTATTAAAATCTATTAAAATCTATTAAAATCTATTAAAATCTATTAAAATCTATTAAAATCAAATATTTATTAAAAATAAATATCTATAAAAAATACACCCAAATGTTGCCAAGTTCCCATTACACCTGAAGTTTTGCCATGACCCTGAGCACAGCCTAAATCAAATGAACCCAAAGAGAAGCCCAGAGTGCCAGGGGGTGCCAGGGGGTGCCAGGCTCACCAGACAGTGCCAGCCCTGAGGCTCTGGGACACAAAGTTGGCCTTGTCCAGGTCCCTGGTGAACACGGCGGCTGCCAGGCCATACTTGGAGTCGTTGGCTCTCTCGATCACCTCCTCGATGGTTCTGAACTTGAGGATCTGCATCACCGGCCCGAAGATCTGCAAGGAGCCAGCACAGAGTGGGGAACACAGGAACCACGGGCTGGGACTGCCTGAGGCCCCCATGGGGGCGAGGGAAGATCAGTCTGACAATGTGCTCTGAGAAGGTTTATATTATATATTATATATTACATATTACATATTACATATGCTATAATATATATAATATATAACATGTATTATATATCATTCTATATAATACATAATATATTACATATTACATATCATATGCTATATATTATATATTATATAACATATATTATATATCATATTCTATACTCTATATAACATATATATCATATTCTATATTCTATAATATACACTATATATTATATATAATATATTCTATTCTTCTATATTCTATATCCTATATTATATATTACATATTACATTATTTATTATATAACATATTATATATTATATTATATAGTATATTATATAGTCTGTTTTATATTTAATTATATTTTACGTATTTTATATTTTATTTTATTATATTGTACACTTTATTTCATATTACATTATATTGTATAATATATAATACAGTATATATAACATATAATGCTCTACTAAACTATACTAAAGAATTCAGAAAGGATCCAGGCAGAAGGCTGAAAGACAGTCATGAAAACCTTGTGACTCTCCTCAGAGTCCAACACAGCTTGGCCCCTGATTGTTTATCAATCAAGTGGTTTCATGTGAATTGTTTCTACTTATTGGCCAATCTCCAAACCACATTCCAAAAGCAGCAAAACACAGGAGAAACAAATGAGATAATATTGTTTTCCTTTTTCTCTGAGGCTTTTCAGCTTAATAAAAAAGCTGTTTATAGATATAATTTGAGATTTAAAATACTAATTAAGAAGGCTTAGTTCCCCCCTCTAAGTAAAACATCTCACAATAAAATTACATTATTTTATCAATCATACAATAAACCTCAACAGCTCATTAACAAAAGAGATCCCCCTAAAAGAAATAACTTATAAAAAAATTAAAAACCACTGCTCCACCTAGTTTTAATAGATATTAATAGAACAAATAGCTGTATTTACATGCTGCAGCACTCACCTCCTCCCTGGCAATGGTCATGCTGTCCTGCACGTCCCCAAAAACAGTGGGCTGGATGAAGTAGCCCCTGTCTGCAGCGGGGCTGCCACCACACAGCAGCTTGGCTCCCTCCCTCTGCCCCGTGCTGATGTAGCCCAGGATCTTCTTGAACTGCTCCTCATCCACCTAAGAGCCAGGAGGGACAAACAGCTGCTGTGCTGCAGCAATGCCTCATTGCTTGGCAGCCTGTTGCAATCTCCAAAGGGAAATGGTCATTTTTAAATGCCAGCACCAAGGTTTGGAATTGTGCCCCTGGTTAATTAACTCCTCCCTCCTGCAGCGGTGCTGATGGGCTCGGTTCAAATTAGGGTAATCAATAGAGCCAAGGGTGCTCCCACTCTAATCTACACAATGACTCAAGGTTGGGACATTTTCATGAGATAACAGCTCAGGGCTTTTCCTGCTCCCACCTGAGGCCCCTGCTCGGTTTTGAAGTCAAAGGGGTTCCCGACCACCCTGGCCTTGGCCTTCTCCACACTCCTCTCCACAAACTCGTTGTAAATGTCCTCCTGCACGTAGGTCCTGGAGCCAGCACAGCAGCACTGCCCTTGGTTGAAGAACAGGGCAAAGTGGGCTTGATCCACAGCCCAGTCCACTGGGAAGAGGGAGAGAAAACAAATAAGCAAACAAAGCCAACCAGACCTGTGACTTTTTTAGCACAATTATCACAGAGACTGCTGGGGATACAAAGTCCTTTCAGTTGACAGCATTTGCCATGGGTTGGTAGGACAGGAGTTGCAGACTTCATTCTTTATTAAAGCACCCCAGACTAGAGAAAAATATCTAACCTGAGGCAGGTTACAGTTCTCATTGGAAATTATCAGGTGTTGAGGACTAATTTTCCTCCTTACTTAACTGCTCAGTTAAGTGAGTGTTGGCTCATTGAGGCCAAAAATGAGTTTATATGCAAGGGATGAGGGAAGCAGGACTTCACAGGAGAAGAAAAGAGTGGTGTGCTCCAAGAGAAATTAAAACAAAACTGGGGCAAGGACTGGAGGAAGATACTGAAACAATTTTTTTTTGTTTGTTGATAGCTGAACTACCCAGCACTGGGAAAAGAAGTGGGAGTGGAGGAGTGCTGAAACACAAATGCAGCAGCTACAGCAGAGTGGTGGTGTCAGGGCTAGAGCCTCACACTGGAGACCTTCCCTTCCTTTTCCTTTCCCCTCCAGCTCTGGAAGAAGCCAAGGTAAAAGGCACAAATCAAACACTCACTGTCTGCATCAGACATGATGATATTTGGGCTCTTCCCTCCAAGCTCCAGGGTCACCCTCTTGAGGTTACTCTCTGCTGCAGCCTTTTGGATCAGGTGTCCAACCTGCAGGGAGAGCAGAGCAGGTGTTGGAATTAACTCCCACATCAG